TCTGCTGGCTTGGGTTAGGGTGATGGTTCCCCACAGAGCTGGCAGCCCTAGGGCTGCAGACCCCCACTGCGGCATGTTCTGGCCCCCAGGGGTGCAGGTGACTTGCAGGTGAGTCCTGGGGTCCCCAGCTGACTGAGTGTGGGGCCGTTGTGTCATAACTCGGGGCTGCTGTGGCTGGGGGGTTGGATCCCAACATTTGGATCTGTGTGCTCCCCCTCCTGTGACAGGCAACTGCTGGCTCCAGTGCTTGTGTCTCCATCACCACTACTCACTCCCTGCCAGTCTCTCTTGGGATGGGTCACTGTCATCTCCTTGTGCCCCTGGCAGTTGCTGCTGCTTTCTTGCAGTGTGTCCCTTCCTGGGGAAGCAGGACCATCCCTGGTGCTGGGGTGTCCAGGCTGGCTCCTGCCCTCACTTGTGTGGTGCCACCAGCCCATGAGAGCCGTTTGGCAGGTGGTAGAGGATGAAGCAAGGCTGCAGCCCTGGCCCAGCAGGTCCCAGCACGTGAGGGGAGGGGTGCTCTACCTGCCCGCCTCTACTGTCCTTGCTAATGAGCCCTCCTGCCCTGTCTGGGGCTTGCTGCGACCCCCTGCAGAGGGGTCCTGCCAGGGCTCCCCACAGCAGGTGACAGCATTGTCCCCGGGGTGGCCAGCTTGCCACAGCAGGAGAAACAGGGGATGCTGGTGGCATGCAGCATCCCGAGCCTGCCTGGTCCAGGAGGAGACCAGCGGGCACTGCTGGAAGCAGTGTCACATATCGTATTCTGGCTGGCATCTACTCCAGGGCCAAGCTGACCACCAGGACCCACCAGCTGGGACTGCCTGAGGCTCCAGCTGGGCAGGGAGGGAGCCCCAAGGCAGGGGAGCCTCTGGGGTACAGCCTCCTGCCTGGGGGTCCTCACACCGTGGTGAGGGGCTGAGCCGCAGGCAGGATGCTGCCAGCACAGGGCAGGAGGCAGGCAGGCTGCTGACCAGATCCTGTTGGCTTGAGTCCGGACACAGTGAGAGGCCAGACCTGTCCGGTGGTGCTGCCATGAAGAGTTGCACAAGGGGCCAGGAATAGAGCAGCAGGAGGTGATTAGAGGCTGCGGGGCCCAGCTGGGCGGCAGCAATAAATAGATGAGGCTTAAGCCCTTGCCTACCTGGGCAAGGCTGCCGGGCATGCCTCCCCGCATGGGGCAGCTGCAACCTGTCCTTGCTCCCTGCCTCAGCCAGGCCCTGCGGCTCCAGTCCTGCTGCATCCCCTGGGCCAGCCTCTTCCCTTTGCCACGAGCAGAGCCGGGGGCATGATGTTGGCCAAGAGTCCTGCCACGCGTGACGTTCCCAGCAGTGTGGAGTCATGGTCCCAGCCGTGTCCTTCAGGCTGGCCACGGCTGCTGCTCCAGTGCCCTCCTGGGGCAGGTGCCGCCTCTGACCTTACTGTGTCCTGCAGTGCTGCAAATCCCTCTTGCCCAGCACCGTGACTGCTGAATCGGCAGTGCTGGCTGCAGCCGGCTGCCCTCGCTCCTCCAGGGATGCGGGCAGGATGCTGCCTGTCGGGGATGCTCAGCACCCAGCCGTGGGGCATCTGAGCTCCTGTGCCCCATGGGCACCCTTGGGGTGGGGTGGGTGCCACAAGTTGCATCCAGCTTCGGGCTGGGTGCTTGCTGGGAAAGTGGATGCTGTGCTGGCTCCAGTGGTCTTGGACAGAGTGGGACAGGGATGGTACAAAAAGTATGTAGAGCCTTGTGTCACTTGCCCAGGAAAAGCTGCCTGGGGAACGTGGCTCAGCCCGCAGCTGGCGGTGGTGGCTGTCCCCAGCGGCTGAGGTGTGTGGCATTGCTTTGCCTGGCAAAGCAATGTGTGGGCACAGGCATCCTTCCTGCCCGGCTGGGGCTCCACATCCCCCCTGTCCCATCCCCACAAAAAAGGTGCCAGCTGGCCGCCCCAGGGAAAGGGGTGGCAGGAAGGAGCTGTTGTCACTCATTGTCCCCAGCTCAGCTGGGAGTGACAACAGCTCCTTCCTGCCCCATGCTTCCTGCCCAGCCGCGGGGCCGACAGGATGGGCCTGTTCCCACAGGGCTGCAGCCTGGTGTAGGGAGAGCCGGAGGGTGTGGGATTGGCATGGTGGTGGCCCGGACCCCTGGTCGGTGCTGGCTGCTACGGGTCCCTGGGGACATGGCTGGGGGGCTGTTTCATGTTGATCCAGCTCAGTTTGGCCCATTGCTGGGACTGCTGTGGGCTGGCAGCCCCCCAGGCTGGCAATTGCACACACACACACACACACCCTGCCTCCATGCCCTGGAGGCTGTGTGCCTTCTGTCTTGCCCACAGGCTGGTCGCTCCCATCCCAGGGTGGGCAGACAGGATGGTGAAATCCTGTACACCACCACCGCCCCCGCCGCCCCTGCCAGGGCTGCAGCTCAGTCCCCGTAATCCCCTTCCCACTCCGACTCACCAGCTTATTTCCTGGCTAATTCCCCAAGCTATAAATATTGCTCTGCCTCAAAGGGCCCTGAAGCCCAGCAACTACCCTGCAGGGCAGGGGATGGTCCCCCTAGCATACCTCCTGGGGGCAAATTATGTCACTTGTTGGGGCAGCTGCTGTGGGACCTTGGGCTGGGCTGACTTTAGCTGAGTTCCCCCTGGCTCTGCTGGGGACTGTCCTCTGCTGGGCAGGGCAGTCCCTCGGACACCACTGTGCATGGTGTGAGGGGTCCCCAGGAACCTGTGATGGAGGTAGGGGCTCAGGGCTCAAGAGGGACCCCCATCCCTTGACTGAGCATCCCCCCTCCAGGCCGCAATGAGCCCCTAAAGAAGGAGCGTCCCAAGTGGAAGAGCGACTACCCCATGACGGATGGGCAGCTGCGCAGCAAGCGGGACGAGTTTTGGGACACAGCACCTGCCTTTGAGGGCCGCAAGGAGATCTGGGATGCCCTGAAGGCAGCCGCCTATGCTGTGGAGGCCAATGACCACAGCCTGGCTCAGGCCATCCTAGATGGAGCCAGCATCACCCTGCCCCATGGTGAGAGATGGCACAGGGGGTGCGGGTGGGGTGGGGTGGGTGCTGTGTGACCTATACCTGGGCACATGGGGGTCCTAGGTTGGAGAGGAGAGGGGTTTCCAGCTGCCACCGATGCAGCTCAGCCTAGCCAAGGGGAACAAGGCAGGCTCTGCCTCACTGCCTGGGGTGTCCCTGTCTCAGTTTGGGTGGTCCATGGGGATGCCCACCCACAGCATCTCACCCTGCCGTCCTCAGGGTCCTTGACAGAGTGCTACGATGAGCTGGGCAACCGGTACCAGCTGCCCGTCTACTGCCTGGCACCTCCTGTCAACCTGATCCTGGAGCGGAGTGAGGAGGAGGCAGCGGAGCCGGCTGAGCCCCTGCCCAACGCCCGGCAGGAGTTCGCCCTCAAGGTGCGGCTCTCCACCGGCAAGGACCTGCGGCTCAATGCCAGCATGGGCGACACCATTGGGCAGCTGAAGAAGCAGCTGCAGGCACAGGAGGGCATCGACCTGGCCTGGCAGCGCTGGTTTTTCTCAGGCAAGCTGCTCACTGACCGCACGCGGCTTCAGGAGACCAAGATCCAGAAGGATTTTGTCGTGCAAGTGATCATCAACCAGCCTTTGCCGTCCAGGAACTGACCACCCCTCCCCTGCACTGGTTGCGGGGAGAGGGCAGGGGGCTGGGGGGCAGCAGCACCTCTGGGGATGCACTGGCCTGTGTCCCAGCCCTGCTGGAGCAGGGGCAGCTCCTGCTCTGTCCCCCAAGCTGACCCCCGCCTGGGTGACCCCCCCGTGGGGCTGTGCCATTACAGTGGCCCCTCTCAGCTGGGTACATGGGCACACGCTGCATTTGCTGCAGGAGGTTCAAGACCAAATGTCTCCAGGGCAGTCGGCACGGCCGGGGCCCCGCTGCCAGGCTGTGCCGGCGGGGAGAGGCCGTGACCTGCTGGGCTCTGGCTCCCCTTGGCCAAGAGGCCCCAGGGTGCTGGGCTGGGTGGAGATGTCTCCCCTCTGTACATAGTCTGTATTTATCAATAAAGCCTTTTCATCCTTTCTCTGTCCCTGGGGGAGGCTGTCACCCACAGCCACGGGAGGTCCCTCTGCCTGTCCTACATCTGCTCCCATGTTGGGATGGACACAGGGTGGCCAGGGAGAGCCTAGGTGCCCCAACTCTGATTCCCAGTGCCACCCTCACCCTGTCCCACCAGCCCCAGCTCTTTGCCTGCCTGGACCCTTTTGCAGAGCTGCTGCCATCGTCCCACTGCTATCCAGGCTGCTTGCTGGCATGGAGTCAGAGCCTCCTTTTTCTGGTGTTCCCTTCTGGAGGCTTCAGCCTGTGCCTGTCCTGGGACCAGGTGGGACAGTCACCAGAGGGGAATGGTCCCGGGGCCGCCATCACCTGTCCTAGTGAAAATGGCACCTTTCTCCAGTTGGAGGCTGTGGCACCCATGGGACAGGGCACCCAAGGGTGTCCCTGGGAAATGTACAGGGGGGGTGATAGTTATGTGTCCCCATCTGTCCTTCTTCCAGGTCCTGTGCCGAGGGCTGGTGCCCAGTGTATTAACTGTCCCGGCACAGGGCAGCGTTGGCCTCATCTTACAAAGCGGGAGAGCAAAGCCCAGGGGGGCTGAATAATGTCCCCACTGCCAGGAATAGCTGTCGGCTCTGCCCAGCAGCCCCACGTGAGGCTGGTCCCACTGCCAGGCTGCCTGTGCATGGTGGGGGAGGCCAGGCATCCACTGGGACCCTGGCAGGGTTTCTTGGGATGCTCCACACCTGAGGTCATCCTCCAAAGCGGTGCAGAGGGGCCGTGGCTGCTGGCATCACGTGCTGCCTGTTACTGGCTGAGAGGTTTGAGGGGGGGGGGGGCCATCACCTCCCTTTGGGGTGGGCAGCAACACACCCCCTTGGGTGCCAGGGAGCTTTGGTCGATGCTGGTGGGAGCTACAGCATCTGGTTGCATGGGATGGGGTGATGGGAGCTGCAGGGAGCATTCTGGCTGTGCGGGGTGGGTGGCACAGGCACTGGGCTCATGGGGTGACCCCAGACCGTGTCCCCATTCCGTCGAGCCTCTCTGGACTGGTTGCCATGAGCTGTGTGCACCCAGCTCCCCGCACCCAGCATGGAGGTCCTGGGCAGCCCGTGGCAGGGGCAGTGAGTCTCTTTAAGAGGGTGCAGGGCTGGGGAGGTGAGCCAGGGCCACCAGAAAGCAGGAGGGTGAGCTCATGGCAAAGCTGCCCCAGTCATGTGGAGCAGCCACAGCTGTTGGTGCCCTTGGGCTGCGGGACGGAGGGGCCGGCGGCATAAAGCCCTGCGGCCAGCAGAGCCACCGGCAGCACCGGGAGCCAGAGCTGAGTGAGGAGGAGGCCACATCCTGCACGGGGCTGTGCACTGCAAGCAGACATGGAGCTGGACGTACAACGGGCCAAGGAGCTCATCGAGCAGAAGCTGGCAGAGGAGGAGGAGGAGGAAGAGAAGGTGAGTCCACAGGGTAGGGGGACCTGCCTGGGCTGTGACAGGAACCCGCCATGTGCTGTGTCCATCCTTAGGGACTTGGATGCGAGGAGGCTGGCATTGGCCCTGCCATCCTGGGGGATGCAGCGAGGTGGCCAAGGGTTCCCAAGGGCATCAGGTTCCCAAGCTGGTAGCTCTTGCCCACGGGGCATAGCCGAGCAGCGGGCAGGTGTCCAGCTTGCCAAGTAGGGCAGGTGGGCAAGCACAAGACCAAGGGCTGCTGGGCATCCTGTAGACCTCAGTAGCAAGTTGCGAGCCATGCCCAGAGCCACCTCCACTGGCAGGCTGGGGACAGAGTTAGTGGGGCTGCTCCGTGCCCAGTCAGGACGCTGCAGCCCCCCATGTCCCTGCAGAAACTCAAAAGGGATGGTGCACAGGAGCCACCGGCTGTGGAGCGGATGAGCACGCCTGACCTGGAGGAGGAGAAACGCCGTGGCCCCAGGAACTGGGGCCTTGAGGCCGTCAAGGTGAGAGGGGTCAGGGTGCGGGGCAGCCCTGGGGGACGGCTGGGTGCAGAGAAGGCAAATGGGGTGCTGTGTGTCCCCCTCCAGGGCCAGGAGCGAGTGCGGAAGAGCTCGGTGGACCTGCGGCGGGAGATTATTGATGTGGGGAGCATCCAGCGCCTCATTGAGCTCCGCAAGCAGCGCCGGCAGCGTCGGGAAGAACGGGCAGCCACCCCTGAGCCCCCCCCACCGCCTGAGACCCTGGAGATTGTATGTCAGGGGGTCCCAGGGTGCGGGAGGGGGGCTGCTGGGACAGGGGCTGGAGCCCCTATGGGCCAGACCCTGAGTCACCCTGCCAGCCAAGGACCTCACCAGGGAAGCAGGGCAGGGGACCCCCCATGTTTTCCCCTCTCCCATGCCCTTGCGATGCCCCATCCCTGAGCCAATCCTGCCTCCAGGAGGGTCCTGTGGAGCCTGAGACCTTCCTGCGAGCCGCTGTCCAGGGCAAGATGCATGTCATCGAGAAGTTTCTGGCAGATGGTGGCTCCCCTGACACGTGTGATGAGGTAGCCAACCCCACTGGCCGCTGGCCACCCCTTCCTGCACCCTGCCACCATGCCCTGTGCCGTGCCCACTGGCAAAGGCTGGGACCCCCAGGACGGGGTTGGAGGTACGGCTGGGCTGGGGAGGGGGGATGGATCCGTCTGCCAATGCTGTGCCTCATCCCCCAAGTTCCACCGCACGGCCCTGCACCGCTCCTCACTGGAGGGACACACGGACATCCTGCAGAAGCTGCTGGACAGTGGGGCCACTGTCAACTTCAGGGACCGGGTGAGGCCTGATCCTGCCCACCGTTCCATGCTGGTCTGAGCCTCTGGGCATGACACAGCCAGAGCAACAGCAGGGTTGGGATCCCCTCAGCAGGGCAGTGCTGTCCCTACTGCTGAGGTGACTGCGGGCAGGGCTCTGCCAGCTCAGCCTGGGCACAGGGACCGGCTGGGGCGGGGGGATGGACATGGAGTGGGGTGTCCCCTGCCATGACATGGCTCTGTGCGCCCAGCTGGACTGCACCGCCGTGCACTGGGCCTGCCGGGGTGGGCACCTGGATGCTGTCAAGCTGCTGCAGGACCGCGGGGCAGACCTCAACCTGAAGGACAAGGTGTGCAGGGCAGAGCCCAGGGGCACGGGGCTGTGCCAGGGGCATGGGCATGCCCTGTGGGACCAGGGCTGGCCCTGTGTTGGGCTAACAGGGGTGGGTGCTGATACCCTTTGGTGTTCATCTCCTCCCCCCTCAAGCTGCTCAGCACCCCCCTCCATGTGGCCGCCCGGACTGGGCACCTTGACATTGTGGAGCACCTCATCCACTGCGGGGTGGACATCAACTCCCCGGACAGGGTGAGTGCTGTGGTCGTGCAGCCAGCACTGGGGGAGCAACACTGATCCCCTGTCCTTTGGCTGAGCCATGTGGGGGCTCCCAGCACCCGCAGCAGGGCATGTCTGGACACCCGCATCCCTGCTGCGGTGCTGGCAGCTGCAGCCAGGGCTGGGGCAGTGTTGTGGTTTAACCCCAGCCAGCTACTAAGCACCACACGGCCACAGTAGGATGGGGAGGAGAATTGGAAAAAACAAGTAAAACTCATGGGTTGTGATAAGAACAGTCTAATGACTAAAAAAAAAAATAATAATAATAATAGTAATATTAGTAATAGTTGTAATGAAAATTAATATAGCAAAGAGAGAGAGAGAACTAAAACCCAAAAAAAGACAAGTGATGCACAGTGCAATTGCTCACCACCTGCTGACTGATGCCCAGACAGTCCTCGAGCAGCAATCCCCTCTCCCAGCCAACTTCCCTCAGTTTATATACTGAGCATGACGTTCTATGGTATGGAATATCCCTTTGACTGGTTCGGGTCAGCTGTCCTGTCCAGGCTCCCTCCCAGCTTCTTGTGCACCTGCTCTCTGGCAGAACATGGGAAAAATCCTTAACTTAGGATAAGCACTACTTAGCAACAACTAAGACATCACTGTGTTATCAACATTATTTCACCCTAAATTCAAAACACAGCACTGTACCAGCGACTAGGAAGAGAATTAACTCTATCCCAGCTGAAACCAGAACAGGGGAGAACCATCCCCCCTTGTCCTGATGGGGAGGTGGGTGTGCGGAGAGCCAGGGAACGGTGCCAGGGACAGGCAGGGTGTCCCTGTCCCCAGAGCTGGACCACGATGCCCAGCCAGGCTGTGTCTCTCACAGGAAGGCGACACGGCGCTGCATGACGCCACGCGTCTCAGCCGCTACAAGATCATCAAAATGCTGATCCTGCACGGGGCTGACATGATGGCCAAGAACCAGGTGAGCAGGGCGAGGGGGCAGCACTGGGGCCATTTGCTGCCCCACCGCGTCACGCCACCCTGGCCCCTGCCTCTCTCTGCTCACTCGTGCAGGCTGGCAAGACCCCGACAGACCTGGTGCAGCAGTGGCAAGTGGACACACGTCAGGCGCTGGAGACCAAGGAGCAGCCACAGGGGGAGATGGAAGTGCCTGCATGACAGTGCCGGGGGGGGGACTCGACTCCAAGGAGCAGGATCCAGCCGAGGCTTGGCCATGTCAATAAAAACCAGCAAAGAGCAACATTCAGCTCCAGGGGACTGCGGGGACAGCAGCCTGCTCCACGGGCGATGGATCTGGGGGAGATGGGTTATATGGGAAGCTGCGTTATCCAGCAGCATGGACATGACCTGCCTCCTAGCACAGCGACTGAGTTGTCAGTGACACCATGGGGCCAGGACACGAGTGGTTCAAGGGTGGAACTCCTTGCTGCGGGATGCCCTGGTTGCTCACAGTGCTTCAAAGTCCAATCTGGGCAAGCTCAGGGAGGAAAAATACATCAAGGGCAGCTCAGGCCAGGTCCACACTGTGCCTGAGGCTAGGGTTGTGCTGGGGAGCAGCAGTCGTACCTCTGCTGGGCAGCTGCTCCATGGCTGCTTGTTCTGCTTTCCCCACTGGAGCTATCCCTGGGGGGACACAGCAGCCCCTTTGCAGGCTGGGTCACTTCTGCTGAGCACAGTGCTCATTGCTCCCTACTCAGAAATGCCTGTTTACAGGAGACCCTACACCAACACCCAGAGCAGGCAAACCCTGTTCTCAGCCCTGGGACTCCCTGCAGTGCCTGATCCCTCCCTGGTCCAGCAACCCAACCCCATAGGTGGGAAAGGGATGTCTGCCAGGGCTGGCAAGCGGAAGGAAAAGCACAGCTGGGGTTGCTGGGGCTCACCCGGAGGGGTGCTGAGCTCCTGTAGTGAGCTCCTGAAGCGGGGGAGAGCATTCTGAGCTCACCCAGTACCGCCCCCCATATCGTCCGCCCAGACAGGTTGCGGGTCCCTCACGTGCTCAGTCAAACATTAACAGCCCCTCAGCAGGGCAGGCGGCACAGCCAGCAGCAGCACCCAGCCACCATGGCGCTCAGCACCCGCCTCGCCGTGCCCCTCCGGCCTGCCCTGGCAGCTCTGCACTGGGCAGCCCCCGGGCAGCCCCGGGGGCTCAGCACCCCCCCAGGACCAGGACACACATTTGACCTCAGGGGCATCTTCCCACCCCTCGCCACCCCCTTCTCACCCACACAGGAGGTGGACTATGCCCAGCTGGAGGGGAACCTGCGCCGCTACGCCAGCATCCCCTTCCGAGGTAAGTGCTGCCCACACCCTTCTCTGTGCAGCCTCCTGCCAGATCCCTGCCTGCAGCAGGGGCTGTACAGCAGCCTGCAGGCAGCCTGCTGGCTTCCCAAGGGTGCTCAGCCTCCAGCCAGACTTTGCTCCAGAGCTGGCAGCCCCTTGGGTGACCCACCTGTGGGGCCCTTTGCACAGCACGTGCCCAGGCAGCCCAGGCACACGCGTGTGTCCTCGCACTATTCCCACCACACTCTGGTGCATGTTTGCATGCACTCTCCACACGTGTGCAAGGATGCTTGCACACATCCTCCACATGTAGCTGCAGGCTTGCACCTGCCCTCTGTACACCTGTGCACACTCAGATTCAGTGCCACTGGATGCATATCTGTTGATTGCCCAGGATGGGCTGCAGGAGGAGAGGGGCTGCAGGAAGAGGCTGGGGGTTGCAGGGATGTGCCCTGGGGTCTTCCCTCTTCTGACCAGGCTGTGACTCAAGGGCTGTGGGGATGGGAACAAGAGAGGGCACGCTGTGGGCTGCAGAGACTTGTCTGGGTGCCCAGGGGCAAGGAAGGGGAGAGGATGATTGGGACACCCAACCCTCCCAGCATTCTGGAGCCCTGGATGCTGCAGCAGAGCCTGGCAGCAATGGGCTGGAGCTGGCCTGCCTGTGCCTGTGGTGTTGTCAGGGTCCCAAGAAAGGGGTCTATGTGCCCCATCTGGGGACGGGGTGGCACAGCCTGGCTGCAGGCACCAATAAATGCCCCGCTAGTGGTGCTATGTGGGGCAGTTTCTGGGGATGGAGGTGGGCAGGCGGTGTGTTCAGCCCCCAGGGTGCAGGTATGGCACACAGAAGGGTTCTGGGGTATGGAATGGCACCGCCAGTGCTCAGTTTGGTGCAGGTGGGCACTGTTATCTGGGAAGCACATACCCACATGTGCCCTTTGTCAGGGAGCCCAGGGCTTTGTAGAGCACCTGTGGGAGCCTCCTGGCCCCAAAGGACTGCTGGATGTGGGCATCAGGCTGTTCTGGGTGCCTGGTGCCCACCCAGGAGTGGGGTGCAGAGAGGGCAGGAACAGCTGCCCCATGAGCACCCTGCTCCTGTGCCTGAGCCCTGCCCTCCCTGCGCTTGCATTTCAGGGCTGGTGGTGCTGGGCTCCAATGGGGAGTACCCCTACCTGGCACCCCGCGAGCGGCTGGAGGTGGTAAGCTGCGTGCGCCGGGCTCTGCCCAGGGACCGCCTGCTGGTGGCTGGCTCGGGCTGCGAATGTGAGTGCCTGTGCGGGCAGCAAGGGGGCCATGTGTCCCCCCCGGGGCATCCCTCACCCCCCTGCCTCCTCCCCAGCCACCCAGGCCACCATTGAGCTGACTGTCAGCATGGCAGAGGCGGGGGCTGATGTGGCGCTGGTCGTGACGCCCTGCTACTACCGGGGGGGCATGACCAGCGCTGCCCTGATCCAGCACTACACGGAGGTGAGCTGTGCCCCATGCCAGCCCCAGCTGGGGCAGCAGGATGGGGAGCGCATCCCATACATCTCTGACCCACCCCAGCTGCTGAGCTCTGCCTGGCTGCCCGCAGGTCGCCGACGCATGCCCCATCCCCGTGGTGCTCTACAGCGTCCCCGCCAACACCGGCCTGGACCTGCCCCTGGAGGCTGTCCTCACCCTGGCTCAGCACCACAACATCATCGGGATCAAGGACAGCGGCGGGGATGTGAGTGGGGCAAGGCTTTCCCGGGGCTGGCTGCCACCAAATCTGGTCCCAAGCTGGGAAGGGGGAGGTGGGACTTGCAGCCCTTCCCTGGGCCCCGGGGACGCTGTGTGAGCCCCACGGAGGGGAGATGGGGTGATGCCCACCCTGGGGCACATGATGTCTCTCCCCAGATTACTCGCATGGGGCTGATGGTCCACAAGACACGGCAGGAGGATTTCCAGGTGCTGGCGGGATCGGCTGGCTTTCTGATGGCAAGCTATGCCCTGGGTGGGTGCTGCTGCCTCTGCTCGGCCAGGGGCACAGGGTGCTGCCCTGGGGGCACTGGTGGGGACTGGCAGCTGGGTGAGGGGAGGTAGGCGAGGGATGGCGATGTCCAGGAGGTGATGGCTGGGCACAGCATGACAAGCGGGCTGCCAATGTGCCCTGGTGTCCCCAGGTGCCTCTGGAGGGGTCTGTGCCCTCGCCAACGTCCTGGGTGCCCCACTGTGCCAGCTGGACCGCCTGTGCCGCGAGGGCCGCTGGCAGGAGGCCCGTGACCTGCAGCACCGGCTCATTGAGCCCAACACGGCGGTGAGTGGGCAGCACCTCGGGGATGCTGCAGGGTGGGGGTGCCGGTCCATGGCAGAACTGGCAGCAGCAAAGGGTGGAGGTCCTTGGGGCTGCGGGGTGTGGAGCAGTAGTCTGGGGTGGACAGGATGGCACAGCACCCAGCTGGTGAGTCGAGCCAGGCTGGAGGCAGAGGGGTGGGAAATACCAGCCTTGCTGTGCCAGGAACAGCATGTCCATTAGAAGCGAGCATCTGCCTGACCCCCCGTGGGAGCCTTGCTGGCTATTTATAGGCAGTGATGGGGGGAAAAGCTGCTCCTCTCTGCAACCCCCACCCCACTACAGGTACTTCGCTGGGAGGCCGCAGCCACCCTGCACCCTGCCCAACCTTGCAGCCCTGCATGGGGTTGGTGCAGGAGCCCACAGAGCATGCTGCTCTGTCCCACCAGAGCCAGCAAGCCCCTGCACCCTCGCTCCTGCAGGTCACTCGCCGGTTCGGGGTCCCAGGACTGAAGAAAGCCATGGAGTGGTTCGGCTACTATGGGGGTCCTTGCCGTGCACCCCTGGCCCCACTGAGTCCCCCCCAGGTTGAGGAGCTGAGGGGCACCTTCAGCACCAACGGCTGGTTGTGAGGGGTCCCCCCCACCCCTTCCTGCACCAGGAACGCACGGGATCCAAGGACCCTGGGAGCTGGGGACGTGGTGGGGATACTGGGATGTGACCAGGAGAAAGCCACCCATCTCACTCCTTCCTGCTGGACAGGGCTGCCCTGGGCAGAGTGGGTAGGGGGGACACTCAGCACCCCCTGGCCACACTTGCATCCCTGCCAGTCCTCACGTCCCACCTGGGAAGGGATGGAACCCTGCGCCATGAGCTGGGAATAAACCTGCTGCCCCCATTCTGTGTCTGCAGTCCTGACCACGCAAGCAGCCCCCCACCCGGTCCCTCCTCCCGGCAAACAGGACGCGGCACGGGCGTTTGGCAACGTGGTTTACTCAGCTGAGGCCCGTGCAGGCAGCTGCACAAGGCAGGGTCACGGCAAGGCACGGGACCGGTGTGCGCCGAGACTGGCAGGGAGGGCACAGCCCCTGCAGCCCACCACTGGGCTGTGAGGTCTGTGAGGGCTGCCAGGACCCCCATGCCATGGCCAGCCAGACTGCACCAGGGGTGAAGGTGAGAACGCAGTGGGGAGATGAAGGATGCGTGCAGGGGGCAAGGTGGGGAGCTGTGTGTCCCCTACCCACCCTGCCCACCCCTTCGCCGTGCCCTTATCCCCCACCTGCCCTGCTCACCCCTGCTTCAGCCCTGGCACCCCACACAGCCCTGCTCATGCCCCTCATCCCAGGCTCCAGCTGACCCTGCTCCTTGCTTGCCATTGCTCTTGCCCTCCCTCAGTGCGCAGCAGACATGGGCCAGGCTGGGCATCCCTTGGTCCCCCTCAGTGGGGATGCTGCTGCAGATGTCCCCAAGGCAGTGGGTGGGCTGGATTGGCACAGGAATGAGGGGGGGGATAGCCCATCGGCTGGCCCTGAGAGCAGGCTGGGTCCTTCGGAGGCACCATGTCACCCTGCCCAGGGCACGAAGGGGGATGGCCGGTCACCCAGAGCTGAGGGCACAGGCCATGGGGTGCCTGGGGTGCCCGCCCTGCCTTGGGACCAGGGTAGCAAAGTGGGCCAGGAGCTGCCCCTCTATGGACGTGTGGTCCAGCCAGCAGCTCCTGGCCAAGGCACCCTGGCAGTAGGATCAGAGCCCAGCCCCAGCCCCTACACCCCTGCTCCATCCTCTGCAGCAGGCTGGCATCCTTGGTGGTCTTCCTGGGGGGCAAAGGGGCCAAGCCCCAGCCACCCTGTCCCGCCACTGCTCCGGCAGCTGCCAGGGCTATAACCAGAGAGAGAAGGCACCACGGCTGCCCTGGGGCACTTGGGTGGAGAGCGGAGAGCCCCATCCCCCCCAGCAGCGGGGGTTCAGCAGGGGGGGGCTTGGTGGGGAAGGAGAGCAGGGGGGCACCCGGCGGTGCCACATCCCTGCTCCCGGGATGGTGGGGCCAGCCAGCGCCCAGTGGCAGGGTCCCCGCTGTGGCAGGAGGGGACGTGGGGCACCGTCACGCCGTCAGGTTGTGGGCAGACTTGGAAGCGCCCTGGGCCCTCTGGATGACAGCCGGGCACTTCTCCCGCCGCAGCAGCTTGTTGTTCTCAAAGAAGCCCTCGTTGCGGGGCACCCCGTGGGAGCCGTCGGGGAAGGTCAAGAGACCTGGGGAGGGGAGGAAAGGGCTGGGAGTGAAGGGGAGGGGAGCAGCACCCACCAGGGGCTGGAGGGACAGAGCAGGAGATGCTGGACGTGGGGCCGCACGGGGCTGCAGCTGCCTGCGCCGTGCCACCGGGCACTCACCAAAGCCGTACACGCGCCCGCCTTTGAACTCGCCCTCAAAGGTCATGTTGTCGCAGCGGGTGAAGACGCCAACGCCGTTGAACTTGCCCTGCACAAACTCCCCCTCGTACCTGCGCAGGGAGAGCTCCTGAGGTGGCAGCTCCCCACGGCGAGTGAGGATGCCTGGGAGGGTGTACATAGGGGTCCCACGCTCACCTGGAGCCGTCGGAGAAGGTGAGCACGCCGCAGCCGTGGAAGAGCCCATTCTCAAAGTGCCCCACATAAGCGGTGCCGTCGGCAAACGTCAGCTGCCCGATGCCGTGCCTGCGACCTAGGCGAGGGCAGAAACAGGCAGCGCTGGATGGATGGAGGCAGAGGCTGCCCCAGCGTGGGGCTGGGCAGGGGCACGAGGGCTGCTTGGCCCCCCAGCACAGGCAGCACCGTCCCCTCCCACCCCGTCTCACCTTCCTTCCACTCGCCGCGGTACTCCTCCCCGTTGGAGTAGGTGAAGGAGCCTTTGGTGAGGGTCATGGCGACAGCCTCCGGCAGCACAGGGGAAGAGCTGGCAGGGAGAGGCATGAAGGGCGGCTGCTGGGTGGCGGGAGCAGCCCGGCTTGCCCGGAGCCTCCGCGTCCCCTTGGCTCACGGAGAGGCACGTGTCTGCCCCAGGGACGGCTCTGTTGTGGCACGTCGCAGATGAGGAGGTGACCCTGGGAGCACGGCCTCCCAGCCCTGCCTCTGAAACCCCAGCCGCCGGGTTTGGGTTGCTGCCCGCCCCACCACAGGGCTCATGGCGATATGAGCCCACGGGGGTCACAGCCCCGTGAAACGTGAGCGAGTGGCAGGGAGAGGAGCACGGCGGGAGCCGGCTGCCTCCAGCATGGCTCCCTGGCAGGACCCAAGGGGCCCTGCACCACAGCAGGCTCAGGCCAGGGGCTGCTCTCAGCTCCGCTGGAGCAGTCCCAGGAAGAAACAGGCATTTGGAGAGGAGACACTTTGACAGGTTGTGCTTGGTGCCAACTCTTCAGGGGAGGGAGCAGAGAGCTTGTGGGGCTTCCAGCTCCAGCATCAAGGATGGGCAGACGTGGCTTCACCCCCCAGGGATGGAGTGGCTGCTCTGCCTAAGAGGGTCAGCAGAGAGAAGACCCTGGGGCTCCAGGGCCTTGCTCAGCTATGGAGGGTTTGCAAACCCGCCTGCTGACAGCAAGCAGCCCTCCAGAGCCCTGCAGACCCCCCAAAGCTGCTGCCACGCAGCACAGCTCTCCCTGGCCCACAGGGAAGGCACCAGCATGGAGACAGCCCCCCGGGGGGGCTGCGTGCTGCCTCTCCGGCGGCTCCTGGTGCGGCTCAGGCAGCACCTGTGATGGGAAGGGGCTCCTCGCTTCCAGAGGGGGTATCCCCGCTCATCCCGGGCTGCACGTCCCAGGAGAGATGGGTGCTGAGCCACGCTGAGCAGCCGGACGCGGTGCCCGGGAGCACAGCGGGCAACTCGCTAGGGCTTTGTGTCCGGAGGAGAAATGGCCCCCAGCCAAGCCCAGCAGCGACTGAACAGTGCTCTCTGCTGATGGCAGGGACAAGGAGCTCAGCGCCCGCGCCCCAGCCTGCCGCCTGCCCAGCACCCCTGGGGACACCCGCAGCAGCGCCAGGAGGAGGGCAGGGTGCTGCTGGGGGGCTGTCAACGCCTGCGGCGGGCGGAGGGCTCGCTCCACCAGCACGGCCTGTGCCTGAACCTGCGACTTCATCCAGGGGACGGGCAGCATTCGCTCTGCGAGCACCCCAGCCCGCCCAGCAGCTGGGTGCCCCCCCCCCCCCCGCTCTGAGCCCAGCACCCACAGCGCCCACAGCGCCCACAGCAAGCAGGGGCGAGGCACGCAGCACAGTTTCAGCCGTGCGCATCTCCGCTCTGAGCCCACGACCTGCCCGGGCCGTGCACCCACGGGCTGGAGCCACGCACGGAGGCGAGGCATTGCATGACCGGTTGGGCCACGCACCCCAGGGCGATGCACGGACACCCTGCCCGTGGCATGCACCCACGGGGAACGCGTGCACGCCCCCGCTGGGCGGTGTGCCCGGAGGTGGCGACCGCACCCGTGGCCGGTGCGTCCACACCCCACTGTGCCCACGCACCCACGCCCCACTGTGCCCACGCACCCACGGGCGATGCACGCGCGCGCCGCCGGCTCCACGCGCCCAGGGACACCCGTGGCGATGCCCGCGGGCCCGGTGCCGGTGCGGGCGGGCCGGGCAGCGCAGGGACCCGCGGCCCGCGCTCACCTGGCTCCGCGCTCGCCGCCCGCACCGCTCCCCACCGGGGTCCCGCCGCGGGGCGGTGGCGCGGCCACCTCCCCTGCCAGCCCCGCGCCCCGCCCGGGCGGCTCCACACCGCCCCGCGTCTATCCCCTCCCGCCGTTGGCTGTCTCCACGGCAACGGCTAGCAACGCGGCTGCTCATTGGCCAGCCTCTCAAGCACGCCCTCGCCAGCCGCCATCTTTATGTGGGGCAACGCGTTCTCCTCCCCGGGCGCGCCGCCAGCGGGGCAGCGCCCCCGCCCTGCCCGCCATCTTTGCGAAGGGCAGAAGGGGCCGCCGCTCCCGAGCGGCCATCTTTGCGTGGGGCACTCGTGCCAGCCCCCGCGGACTCCCCTTCGCGGCCCCCACGGACGAGCGGTGCGATGCTTTGGGGGGGGGGGAGGAGCCTCCAGGCCCGCCACCGCCCCGGCGACGGGTGCGGTTCCCACGGCGACGCCCGGGGCGGGGCGGGGCGTGGGCGGAGCAGCCAATGGGGCGTGCCGGCGCGGTGACGCGAGCGGAAGCGGCGGGTGGCGCGGCGGGGCCGGGCGGGCGCGATGGACGAGACGAGCCCGCTGGTGTCGCCGGAGCGGGCGCAGGGCCCCGACTACGGGCTGCCGGGAGGGGCTGTGCGCTCCCTCCCGCCCCCCGCGGCCCCCCCCGCCCCGCCGCCGCCGCTGCCTTCCCCTCCCGGCTCCCCCGGCGGCCGCGACCGCGAGCGGCAGCCGCTGCTGGAGCGCGGGGCGCGGGGCCCGGCGGCGGCGCAGGCCCAGGCGCAGGCCCAGGCGGCGGCGCAGGCCCAGGCGCAGGCGGCAGCGGCGGCGGCGGCTCAGCGGGAGCGGAACGACTTCCCCGAGGACCCCGAGTTCGCCGAGGTGGTGCGGCGGGCCGAGCTGGCCAGCGAGCGCGGCATCTTCCCTGAGCGCATCTCGCAGGGCTCCAGCGGCAGCTACTTCGTCAAGGACCCGCAGGGGGTGAGCCGGCCTCGGCCCCGTCTGCCCGCGACGCGGGGGTGGCCGACCGCTTCCCGGGGAACCGGTGGTGCTGGCCCGGGGGTGACCGGCCGTGGCGGGGCTGGTAGGAGTGGCTGGAGCCGCCCTGGGCTTCCCCCGGGGAGAAGTGCAGCGGCACCAGCAGCGGGTGTGTGTGTGTGTGTGTGTGCGCTGTTGTGTCCAAGTGCTGCTTCAGCCTCTTCCGTGGCTCTCGTGCCCGAAGAGGAAGGGCCACCCTCTCCCCCGGGCCTGTGCATCAGCATCTCCTGACCACAGTCAGCATCTCCTGACCACAGTGACTCCAGCCCTAGGGCTTGCGACTCAGAGCTGAGCTGGGTTTTGGCCTGTGGGACTGGAGTGAGATGTCTCCTCTGTGGCTGCACGGTTGATATAATCAAGGCAAAGTCCTTGGCATATAGGTTGTTCCCTATAGATCTGGTCAGCTGTGTGGCAGCCATCTCCACACCACTGACTGGATGTGTGTTCAGCACAAGGCAGCTTGTCTTGTGACCTGCAGCACCCAGCCTGATCACTTGAGCTGTTGCTCCTTCCCGTGACTCCCTTGCTGTGCGTGTGCCGGGATGCTTCCTGGGAAGCAGGACTGTGCTTTCTGGTGTGCCCTAGTTTTCCTGCCCGGGTGGTGCCTGGCTCCTGGGAGCTGTGGCAGGCAGGTCCCCGCTGAGCTGGTGGGCTGTGGGGCAATACACACTTCTTCCTACTGCCTTCCTGCTCCCTCCTGTTCCCCAATATGAGATGTGGTGTTGCTGGGGTGGGCACCTGGATGAGCTGCCAGGGGGTGGCAGGGCAGAGGCTGCCTGGCTGTAGGAGACCCGAGCTTGGCGAGGGCTGGTGGAGGATACGTGTGAGTAGCCAAAGTCCATCTACTTCTGGCCATGGCACCTGGCAGGTTCCCTGGACTGCCCTGCTGTCAGTGAATTTGGTGTGTGTCTGGTTTCTGTGGCTGCTGCCCGGGGTCACCAAAACCTCCCTGCTGCTAGCACAGAACAGAGTGCAGTGTGCTGTGATTGTGGGCAGGAGGTGAGGGCATCGGCAGAAAAACTTTTCTCTTGTGCCTGTTTCCCTCTGGGCTAACAGGGCCTGAGCTGTCACAGGGGATGTGGTTCCCCAGTAGCTGTGGTTACCCCAACTGCTGGCTGTGCCTCTGAGCTGGCCTGGCTCTCTCTACCTCACTGATGGTGCCAGGCAGACCTGTTTTCCCTGCCAGTGCTGTTCCTGGCACTGGTCTGTCTGGATGGGGATGCTGTGCTGCCAGGCTTCTGGACTCTGCTGCTGCACTGTCCCTGCTTGGCTGGGCCTTGCTCTACTGGGATATCTCTATGGAGCACAGAGTTCTGTGCTGCCAGAGCTCCTGACAAGCCTCTTGTAGGAAAGATATCCAAGGACGTGTTGGCAGTCATGTGCCTTCATGCGGGGCTGATGAGAAGATTGCCTTCCTGCCTGCTCTGGGGAACTGGCTCTTCCATGTGATCTGGGGATGGCTGAAGTGGTCCTTTTCTCTCAAACCCTTCCTTTTCTTCTTTCTGGTGGACAAAACCTTGGTCCTGCCTGCCCTGGGTTGGCTTCTGGCCCCTGGCAGACTGGGATTGCACTGGGGTTTCCCACTGAGTTGCTGGGGCTCATTGTGGCAGGAGCTCAGCTTGGGGAAGTGCCACCCACTCAGGCCAGAGCTGGCACAAGTCATGGGGAGGAGGGCAGGTCGTGTGTGCTGCTGAGTCACCCTGGAGCAGGGGCTGCTGGCCCAGAGCTGCTGTGCAAGCCCCCCAGGGATGCCTGGCCCATGGGGACAGGTGGCCTTGCTCCTGCCCTGGCCCTTGTCTCAGCTGTGTGGCTTGGCAGTGCTGGCGTGGTGACGGTGCAGCTTCCATGCCCTCTGCAGTGGTGAGGTACCTGTGCTGCTGTCCCCGCTGCTGTGTTGATGTGTGTGAGACTGGATTGAGGGGTGAGGGGTGCTGCTGGTACCAGCTGGTGGCCAGTTTGGAGCTGCCTGTGTTCACTTGCCCACAGTGTACTCAGAGAGCCAGCCCCTCTGATGTCTCTAGCTGGGTCCCACCCCAGCACAGAGTCCTGGGCTCCTTGGGGGTCTTCCAGCTGCTCAAATGTTATGGTCCCATTTCTTCTGGTCAGTTTGGAATCAGCTCCGTTCAATGGATTTTGGAGCCAGGGCAGGGATCACTATCCCCCTCCCTCTCCTGCATGGCGTAATGAGCAGCGGTGAGCAGTAGCTCTCCCCAGCCATGCAAAGGTCACTGTGATGTTTACCAGGGGATAGCATCATCACTGATGTCTTTTGGAACAAGGAGGGTTGTTTCCAGGTGTCTGAGCTGGGTTACGAAGTTCTTCAGGCAGCACTCTGCTCTTGTGAGAAAGGGCACTGGCTGGGGAAGGGTCCATCCCAGCCCCTGCCCACATCCCTCCTGGGAGCTGCAGGGTCTGCCTGGTCCCAGGGGCTGGTTATTGCCCCAGTGAGGGGATGTTCTGGTCCAGTTCCTGAGTGTTCCTGCTGTGGGTTGACTTGGGGGGGCGGGGGGAGTGTCTTAACTCTGCCAGCACACTTGAATCACCCCTCCTCTTTCCCACTCACAGAAAATCATCGGTGTCTTCAAGCCTAAGAATGAAGAGCCGTATGGGCATCTGAACCCCAAATGGACCAAGTGGCTGCAGAAATTGTGCTGTCCATGCTGCTTTGGGAGAGACTGCCTCGTCCTCAACCAGGGCTACCTGTCGGAGGCAGGTGCTAGCCTGGTGGACCAGAAACTGGAACTCAACATCGTGCCCCGCACGAAGGTGAGGGGTCAGCTGCTGGGATCTCACCCCGGGGAGGCTTTCATGTGCTTCTGCACAGCTCTGCTTGCACCTTGTCTTTTGGCACTGCTGACCTCGGAGATGTGTTGAGAGCTCTGGACCAGGACTGCTCCTGCTCAAACCGTGGGGATCCTTGTGCTGGGCAGAGCCGTGGGAAATGCTGTATCTTGGTTTTATCAGCCAGTCCTGTGACAATTACCAGGTGCCCCTGCTGATGTCTGCACTCCTGTCCCCTCAGGTGGTGTATCTGGCCAGCGAGACCTTTAACTACAGTGCCATTGACAGGGTGAAGTCCCGAGGAAAGAGGCTGGCACTGGAGAAGGTGCCGAAAGTCGGCCAGCGCTTCAACCGTATTGGTCTGCCACCCAAGGTAGGGCTGCCACCCTGCGCGCCTGCCTGTCACCGCTTCTCCGTCCTCCTGTAATGCAGCCTCTCCTTGCTTCAGGTGGGTTCCTTCCAGCTCTTTGTGGAAGGCTACAAGGATGCTGACTACTGGCTGCGGCGGTTTGAGGCTGAGCCGCTCCCAGAGAACACCAACCGGCAGCTGCTGCTGCAGTTCGAGCGGCTGGTGGTACTGGACTACATCATCAGGAACACGGGTAGGGCCGGCTGCGTGGTGTGGGATGCTGCCTGCTCCTTCACATCCTGCCAGCTGGAAAAAGGGGAGGGTGGCAGGGGCTTGGCATCTCTTCCTGGCACCTAAAACTCCTCTCAACACCACTTGGTTGCTGCCTCTGGGTAGAGCGCAGCTGCTGTGGCTGCCCACCACTGTGGCCGTGCTCTGGCTGCTGGCCTGCATTCTGGGAGATCTGGATCCACCCCAGTGCTGGAGTGAAAGTTTGCCAGCTGCAAGGATCGAGGGACATCTGGAAATCCAGCACCTGACTGTGCCCCTATATCCCATCTCATGCTGGACTTCTGAGTTCCTGCAGGCTGGAGGGGGTTGGAGTAGCACTCTGGGGCTTGCAGGCTGGGGATATGTAGACCTCTTCAGTCTCCAGGGCTGGTTGTGTGGGCGTTGATGTGGCTTCCCAGGCCTGCAGCAAGCTCAAGGCCTCTCAGGTAGAGCTTGGGCTTAAAAGTGGTCTGTCTCACTTCTGGGTTAGAGGGGGAGTAATCATCTGCCCAATGTGGTGCAGGCATGTCCTGGTGCTGACACAGCTGGCTTTATCTCCCTGCAGATCGGGGCAATGACAACTGGCTCATCAAGTACGACTGTCCCCTGGACAGCGCGGGCGTGCGGGTGAGTGGCTCTTCCCAGGCAGGGGCTCCACAGGGGGCTGTGTTCCTGCAAGCTGCCTGCCTGGAAGGCGGGCTGAGAAATTTCCCAGCTGGCTTGGGTTTCTGAGCATGTGGAGGCCTGATCTTGTCTCCTGAGCCTTTTGTTGCCCTTTGCATTGGTGGTTTGTGGCCTAGTGGGACTCTGTGAGGATGCAGCTGGGTTCTGTGGGGGAGGAACTGGTATTGCTGGACCTGTGCATCCTTGGGATGAGGCCTGGAGCAGGGATCAGCTTTGTCTGCCTCCCACTCAAAGCAGACAGTGTTTCTCTGTGGACAAGGGGCCACGCTGCGGGTGAGAGGCTGCTGTGGTAGCCAGGGCAAAGATCCTGGAAGCAGGGCTGCAGTGAGTGGGAGAGGGAGTGTTCCTGCTGGGGGGGCCTCCTTGTGAGATGTTTTGCTTCCTTCCAGGACAGCGACTGGGTGGTGGTGAAGGAGCCCATCATCAAGCTGGCTGCTATAGACAACGGTTTGGCTTTTCCCTTGAAACACCCGGACTCCTGGAGAGCATGTGAGTCCCTCAAGCTGTGCCAGGGCACCTTGGTGAGGCGTGCAACTCTGTGCTCGGGCATCTTCCTCAAGAGCTGGAGAGGAGAGGGCTAGGGTTGTCCTTCAAACCTTCTGGGTTCATGGGCAACTCTGCCGCAGCAGAGACTGTAGGAAGCAGGTGCTGGACCCTGTCTCCGAGATGCAGGTGATCTGGCACCCAGGGGCATGTGGCACTATCCTTTGCCTTCCCCAGCTCTAATGTCTCCTGCTTCCTCCCACAGATCCATTCTACTGGGCATGGCTGCCCCAGGCCAAAATCCCCTTTTCACAGGAGATCAAGGACCTGATTCTTCCCAAGATCTCAGACCCCAACTTTGTCAAGGATCTGGAAGAAGATCTGTATGAGCTCTTTAAGGTGTGGATGGCTTGGGAGGAAGGAAAGTGGGGGTGGTATTGGGGAGCTCCCTGTCAAGACTTCAGGGGACAGAAAGGTGGCCAATCTCCAGACAGTGTTTCTGGGCTGAGGCATAGCAGAGTATCCCTCTGCCAGGAGTTGAAGATTCCATGTGGGGAGAAGCAGGAAACCTGTGGAACAGGAGGAGAGAGGCTTGCTTGGGGAATAGGCATCTCTTGCATGACATGGGGCAGCAGGTTGATCCCACTGTGTTCTCTGCTCTTTCTTACAGAAAGACCCTGGCTTTGACAGGGGACAGTTTCACAAGCAGATTGCTGTCATGAGAGGCCAGGTAAGCTGTGTGTAGGGAAAGCGGATGGATGAGGTGCAGAGCCTTGTCTTGCCTCTGTGGCAGGAAGGGTGCTGGGGTAGACCCTCTCTGTTGCTCTGGCAGAGAAGCTCAGGCTTTCCTCTGTTGTGCCATACAGATCTTGAACCTGACTCAGGCACTGAAAGATGGGAAGAGCCCCCTGCACCTGGTTCAGATGCCGCCTGTGATTGTGGAAACAGCACGTTCCCACCAGCGCACCGCCAGCGAGTCCTACACGCAGAGCTTCCAGAGCCGGAAGCCTTTCTTCTCATGGTGGTAGCTGTGGGAGCAGCGGGCAGGGTTTGGCCACCTTGGACTAGCACTGCGAGAGGAGCCAGGCCACCACTGGCTCCTGTGGCTGGGACTCAACCTTCTGGGTAGAGCGAGCAGGTGTGGCTGGAGGAACCTGCAGCTGAACTGGAGGAGCCAGGCAGGTTGGGCACGGTCTCTCCCCAGCTCCGTTGGAGCTCAGTGCCCTGCCTGGGGCAGAACCCAGGGGGAAGTGTGGGAATCTTCCAGGAGCCGTGGTTTGGCTGGGACCCTGCCTCTGCCTCCCTTCCTCGACCTGCATGTGGTTCTGAGCACCCCTGCTTGGGGCTGGGATGAGCAGGCTGCCCAGGCCAGGATCCGTCCAGCCCTTTACACCAGCCCCTGGCCCTTTTCTTCCCTGCCATGCTGACTGCTGGGCTGGGAAGGCCTGTAGCGGGTTTTACCCTCTCCCTTCCCCCAGAGGTGTGCTGTACTCCTCCACTGTCCCTCCTCTGCCCCAACCCCGTGCACGCTGCTTTCCTCAGGGGGAGTTCCTGCTGCCTGCTGGCGCAGTGGGGACCACAATGAACGGCTGTTCTCTGGCTGGGGGCTCGAGGAGGGGACATACGAGGGACAACTCACGGGGCTGGCTTGGGTGCAGTTAGACACTAAGGGGAAAGAGGTGCTGGCTTGTCCTTGTGAAGAGCAGGCAGCTCTGGGAGGGGCTGTAGCTTAGTGGCCCCCCCCACCCCTCCAGCTGGAGCAGGTTGAGGGTGGGTGTGAGTGCCCTCTCCCCCTCTCCTGCCCCAGTCCTTCCCTCCTGCCAGGTCTCCAAGGCTGCTCTTGCTTGGCTTTTGTTCCTGCTCCCAGCAAGCTCCCTGGCTGCTGTGCAGCCAGCATCATGCCAGCCTTGTCTGTGCCTAGGGCCCCCCCAAGGGGCAGGGGGCTGCCAGGGAAGGGGAAGGGCCAGAGGAACTCTTCTGCTGCATGGGTAGGAGGCGTGATGGGAGCACAGAGGGAGCCAGCATGGGCTCCTGGCTGCCTCGGTGCTGACAATCCCACAGGCCTGCTGTGTTGGGGGGGGGTGAGGCAGTGAGCCCCTCTCTGTCCCGAAGCCTCTGTGCTTGTGTTGTATAACGGTACCAGGGCTGCTGCCTGCATCTGCTTGCCTTGAGCTGCGGCTTCTCCTGCTGATGAGGGGAAGCTGGTGTTGGGTTTCTCTGTCCTGTTAGCCCATCTTTGGGGGGTGTGGGGGGGAAATTAAGGCAGGTTGGAGCTCTGCTGCTTGAGCCTGGCAGGGGGGAGGGCAGCTCCCTTGTCTCCTGTGTGGGGAGGGGGCTCAGCACTGGCTGTGCAAGCACAGGGTGGGTAGCAGTGAGACCCCAGCTCCCCAGCCAGGCCCAGCTGCATCTCTGATCCAAAATGTATTGTTCTAATGCACTGTAGAAATGTATGTAACGTATTTAAACCATGCACCCGTCTGAATAACAGAGCTGCCCTTCACCTCTGTGTCTTGGCCGCACCCTAGAGCAGGTTTGGGCTGTTCCCTGTGCGTGGGGTCCAGTACAAGGGCCCGGACCAAGGTCCTGCTGCCCTGGTGGAAGGCTGGGGGTTGGCAGGACGAAGCCAGAGCCTCACGCAGACACCACCGTCCACCTTTTATTAACCCTTGCACCCTGTCCGGTACATGTAGTGTCCTCGGAGAGCCCCCAGTCCTCCGTGTCCTGGCTGCTCCGCGCTGCTTACGTGGACCCCGAGGGTGCCTCGGCCCCACGGCCGCCTTCCCGCTCCTTCTCCACGATCCTGCGGGGAAGAGGCCGGTGTCAGCGGCGCGGCCCGGCAGCGCTTTCCCCCGGTTCCCCCTCTGCCCCGGCCCGCACGTACCGCAGGCGGCCGAAGCGCCGCAGAGCCGCCATCCCGCCGCCGGGCCGGGCCGGCCGCCGCCGCCGGAGCCGCCGCAGGGCCCGCGCCATGCGCCGCTGCCCCGCGTACCGCCAGACGAGGCGGGCGCGCTCCTCGGGCCGCTCGGCCCCGCCGCTCCGGAACAGGCTCCGCAGCTCCGGCAGCCCCACGCCCTGGAAGATGTTGGCCGAGGCCCGCTTGCGGCCGCGGGCCGCGGGCGCCGCCCGGCCCGGAGGGTCGCTCACCACCGAGGCCGGTGTGCCCATGGTCCCGGCCGCTGCGGGCACCAGAGCGACGGTGTCAGGCTCCGGACCGGGCGATCCCACGCGGACGCCCGGTGAGGAAGGGCGGGCGGCGGGGGGGAAGGAGAGGGCGGGCCGGGGCGGCGGGCAGGAGGCCAGCCGCGCGGGCGGGGCCGTCCCGGGAACGCGGGAGGCGCCCGGCCCGGCACGCAGGGCCCGGCCCGGCCCGGTCCCGCCCCGCCAGCGCCCTCGCACAGGCCCAGGGACGGCGCCGCTGCCCCGGGGTCCCGCCGCGCCGCGCGCCCCGTTCATTCACGCGCCGCGTTGCCAACCCGCGCCCCCCCCCGCCTTGCGGACCGGGCCAATCAGAGCCGAGGGGCGCGGCCGCACCGCCTCTCGGAGCGGGGCCACGTGGCGTAAGTGACGCCAGTGGAGGGGGGGATAACGCCCCGCCCCCGGGCGGAGGCTTGGCGCGCGTCACACCGAGGGGGGAATCCCGGGTGACGTAGGGGGGAGCCCCGGTGTTCGCCCCCCCCCCTCCGCCCCGGCACCGTCCGCCGCGCGGGGTTCCGGTGCTCTCCCCCCCCCCCCCCCCCACCACATCCCGTTCTCCCCCCGCCGCCTCCCGCGCCCCGTCGGTGGCCGGACGGGAGCGGCGCGGCGGCCGCCGCCGTCGGTGGGCTGGGGGGGAGGCGCGGCGGGGCGCGGAGGCGGGGCGGGGAGGAGAGGAGAGAGGCCCCGGGCGGGGAGGACCGTTAAGCGCCAGATGTTTGGCAGCGACCGGGGGAGGAAGTCGCCGCCGGGGCCCTGAGTCCCGCCCGAGCCGCGCCGGAGCAGGCAGGGCCCCGCCATGGCCCGCACGGCTCCCCCGGCAGTGCCGCCGCCCCCGGGGCCGCCGGCCCGCGGGTCCCTCGGCCTCCACCGCGCCTACCTGCGGAGTCCACTGGGCTTGCTGCGCCTGGGGCAGCTGGCCCTGGGCGCTGCCTTCTGGGTGACGGTGGCGGCTCACAAGTACGAGGGGGCGGCCCACTTTGCCCTCTTCGCCGCCGTCCTGGTCTGGCTGCTCACCCTGGCCCTCTTCGGGCTGAGCCTGCTGGGGCGCTGGGCGCTGGTGCCCTGGCTGGGCTCCCGCTGGCTCCTCACCAACCTGGTGCACGACCTGGCGCTGGGCATGGGGCTCTACGCGGCCGCCACCGGCATCATGGGCTACAAGGCTGGGCGGAAAAGCTATTGCAACCTGCCGGGCTACAGCCAGCACTGCCTCTACGGTGCCTACCTGAGCGCCTCCGTCTGCGGAGGCATCGCTGCCTGCCTGTACCTCTTCTCCGGGCTCTACTGCCTGTCGCGGCGCTGCCGGGACCAGCGCGACATCATCTGAGACCCCGCGGCGCTCGGCTCCCCTTCTCCTCACCCGCGGATGGAGCACGGCCCCCCTTTGGGACGAAGTGACCCCGCCGCCCCATCCCCTCCTGGCTGACTGCACCGCGCTTCCTCCAGAGACTCCTGCGCAGACGGATGGACAGACGGGGGCCTTCCCCGAGCATGGCTTCCCCTGCATCCTGCCGAGACAGCGTGGACACCCAGCGTCTGCACAGGCCCCTCTCCCACCCCTGGACAGATGTAGGCTATTGCAAGTGGAAGGACTCAAGCGGAGAGCCCGTAAGAGGGACCCCAATTCCTGGGAGCCCCCCAGGGCCCCTGCCCACCTCCTGTGCCCCTGGCCTTGCAGATGCTGCACGTTCAGGTGGGTGCCGACCTGTCCCTGGGGCGGAGGGGGACTGGCCTGGGGGAGCCGAGCAGGGGGCAGTGGTACATAGCGGGGTTGGGTGGGCATAACCCCACCCGACCCGCTGGCAGCCCCCTTCCTGCAGTTCCCAATGGCGCGGCGCCTCCACAAGTCCCTGACGGAGGCTCTGATCTCGGCTTCCCCAGCCCGGGCCCCTCCTCCTGTCTGGCCTGAACACATCCGCCGTCTTGCCGGAGCCCCGCGGGGCTCAGCCCCTCCCTGCTCCGTGTTCTGGGCGTGTGGAGACACCCCGGTCCCACGCAGCCTGACGCGGCATCACCCCGGCCCCCCTGGACACGCTGTCCTGTTTGGGGGCTGAGCCCACACCGGGCAGCGAGGCCTCCATCACTGTGGGGCGAGGGGAAGGGCGAGTGGGGCCGTAGCCTGCTTCTGTGACCCTGGGCAGGGGATAAATTCCTCCGGCCTTGGGGTTCATACTACCCCGGGGTGGGGCCTGGGGTTGAAGGGTGCGGGGCACGAGGTTGTTCTCTCCCCCTTGCCCCTCCTGCAGCGAGGTGTGTGGCTCTGAGCCACCCAGAGCCACTGGCTGCTCCGACAAGGACAGGCACGGCCTTACCGGCAGCACTGGAGACTGGCCCGCAGCCCTGCCCTGGCTCTGCAGCGCTTGATTTATCATCCCAGAAAACTCTCATTTCGGGACTCTCTGACTCCATCTCAGGGCCCTGCGCTGTCCAGAGACCACGGTGGGGTGGGGGGGAAGGGTGAGCGCAGCAGCATGGCGGTGCTGGGCTGCCGCTGGCACCGTGGCTGCAGGGGAGCTGGGGCCAGGCGTTGGGACACAGCCTGTCTTGAGGAACAGGAGAAGAAGATGTAGGCAGCGGAGCTGGGCCAGCCCTGGATCAGCCTCCAGAGCCCACCGGGTGCCAAGCCCTGAGGAGGCTGTGTAGGGCCAGCTGAAGAAACGGGCAGCCAGAGACTGGGAATTTTTGGAGGAGCACCGCACTGGGGCTGCCCTGCCACAAGCCCTGCTTGCCCTGCCTGGAGCCAGGCCCTCTCCATCACTCCCGCTGCGAGGGAGGGTCTGCTCCAGTCTCTGCGTGGGCTCAGATCAGCAGGACGGGTGTCCCCAGCATCTGGCCACAGGCTCTGGCTGTTGCCTGGGGTTCCCTGGTGCCTTTTTTGGGGTGGAGAGCAGCAGCAGTGATCCCTCTGGGGCTTGGAGGGCTTCGGGGTTGGTGTTGGGTCACCGCTTCCATCATGAGGTGCTGTCTCAGCCGATTTCCTCTCATGCTTAGGGGCCCTGCCAGCCCCTGGATCACCTACCCCTTATTCCTGGGCAGGATGTGCTGCCCCTACCCTGTGTCAGGGCTGGTCCCTGACACTGCCTGCCCCCTCCTGCTGCAGTGCAGCCCCTGGCCCAGGCTGCCCAAAATGCCCAGAGGGGCTTCTGCCACCACAAGTGCCTTTCCCTGGCTTTCTGCAGCTCTGCCTGTCACGCCGGCTCTGTCCTCTTTGAACCCCCTCTCCGGTGCCTATGGATTCACCTTCCAAATAAAGCAACGTTGGCACTCTCCGCGTGTCTGAGGCTTTGTGCCGGGGCTGGGACCTGCTGGGGACAGGGTCTGAGCTGAGATCACAGCTGGCTCTGTAGCCCTGCACCCTGGGGCCTCCCTGCCTGGAGCCTCTGGCCGTGGTCATGTCCTGGTGTGCTCTGGGGTTGAGGGCAAGCTCCTTGGTGCTGAGCCACTATTCCTGGTAGAGAGGCTCTGTCCTTGGGGATGGGCTGTCCCTGCTCCCACTGCCCCATCCAGAGACAGGCCAAGTCCCTCGGGATGAGTGGCCCCAGGGACATGCTGAGGACAGGATGGAGCTGCATTCCTATGGGCTTCGTCACTCTGGGCTGAAAGGACTCTCTGTCCCTGGGGCCGGGACACTGCTGGGCAGTCGTGCCCACGCTGTTGGGCCCCTGAAGAGCTGGAGCAGGCTGGGGGCAGCCAGCATCTCCTGGGATGGGGATCAGCCTTGGACCTCTACCCGTAGCTGGGGTGTCACCAGGCCACCTAGCCCTCTGCCTATAGGGCACGTGCCCTGTGAGCCACTGGCAGCAGCGCTGACCCCTGCGCATAGGGTTATCAAGGTTGCATGGAGTATTAAGGGCTGGCACCCTCCCATTTTGGCAGTGGTTGCAGCCTAGGGTCCCCAGAGCACCCCTGGGAGCCAGCAGCCTGGCCCCACTGCAAGCACCTACCACAAGCAATCTGGTGGGCCTGGGGCACCCGGGGCCTTGGGAGTGGGGCTGCAGGGGGCTGTGCAGGGCAGTGCCAGCACAGCCAGGACTGGGTGGCTCCGGGGGGCATGGAGAGGCAGTGGATGAGCTGCCAGCCACGCTCACGGGCCTGGGCGGAACCCCCCGCTCCCTCTCAGGGAACCCTGGTGCAGGGCTGGCCTCTCCTTGTGGAGAGGTGCCCTGGCAATGGAGCCCATGGGGACAAAATCAGTGCCCTGATATGGGTGGGAGCTGGGTGGGCTGAGACCCAGTCTGGGACTGAGCCCGGGATCAGGATTAGACCGAGATTAGGGTCAAACCCAGTCTGGGACTGAGCCCGGGATCAGGGTCAGACCCAGGCTGGGACAGAGTCCCAGATCAGGGTCAGATCAGCATCAGTGCCCAGCCCTGGACTGGGACTGAGTGAGTACTAGACTGGACCAGACCCGGATTGGGACCGGTCCGGGACCCAGATTTGCCCCAGGGCCGAGCCCCGTATCTAGACCGGACCCACGGGGCCCAGACCGGTCACAGGACTCACCGCACACCCGCGAGCCCGCCCCGCCGCCCCTGGGCCCCTGCGGGCGGGGCCGGGGCCGAACCGCCGCTACTTCCGGGGCCGAAGCCACTTCCGCCCCTTTGCCCACAGAGGGGCGGGGCTTCTGTTACGCTTGGTAGCCCGGCTCTTCTGATTGGCTGCGCGCCAGCGCTGCGCATGAGGTCACGGCGCACCTGGCTGATCACGGAAGTCAGGGTGCGGAGTGGGGTGCTGGTCTCGGTCCCCGGTCCCGCCGCCCCCCAGCCCGTCCCGTCATGCAGGTGGTGGAGCGGGACGGGGCAGCGGGCGGCCCCGAAGGGGCAGCGGGGGGCTGTGAGGCCCCGCCGGAGCCGTCGCTGCCCAAGGCCGCCGCCGCTTTCGACCTGCTGGAGCTGGTGCGGAGCTACCGGCGGCTGGAGCTCTACCTGGAGCCGCTGCGCGACGCCGCCGAGGGCGTCCGCTCCCTTCTCCGGTAGGTGCGGACCGGGACCGGGACCGGGACCATCCCCGGGGCCTCACGTCCCTCACCCTCCTTTCCCTCCGCAGGTGGCAGCGGCCCCTGTGCTCCCTCCTCGTCTGCCTCGGCCTCAACTTCCTCCTGCTCACCCTCGGCCAAGGTGCGTGTGTGTGTGTGGGGGGGGGGGACGGGACAGGGCCGGCCGCCTCCCTGGGCACCCTGGGTTGACGCTCTCCTGCCTTTTTCCAGCCGCCTGGTACTCGGTGCTCGCCCTGTTGGTTGTGCTGCCGGCCCTGCTGGGCTACCTGCAGGAGACGTGCCGGGCCCGGCCCTCGGAGCCGGAGCTGGTGCGCAGGCGGTACCACAGTGTCCGCCGGGAGGACCTGCGCAGGGTGCAGCTCTCGCGCCAGGAGGCCATCGCCCAGGTCAAGAGCTTGTGAGTCTCGGGAGCCCTCTGGGCTGCAGGGCTCCAGGGGCCTCTGCAGCCAGAAAGGCTTCCGCATGGCTGCGGAGGTCCTGGGTTCGTGCTGGCCTGGCTGCCGTAAATCAGAGGAGTGTGGGGGAGCCAGGGTGTGTGTTTGTGGCGGCCTTTTTGTGACCATGAGGTCTCATTCACAGCCTGATCCAGCTGGAGGGATTCCTGAGCGGGATGTGCTGCAGCTGCGAGACAGTGTACCGTGTACTGTACTGGGAGAACCCCACTGTCTCTTCCCAGTGAGTAATATTGGGTCAGGCATCCCGCAGTGGGCTCAGCGGGGAGAGGGGCCCGGCCAGGCCTGTGGAGCTTTTTGATGTATTTGGTACTTGGAGAGCAGGTGGAGGACCAGATGAAGGAAGGGGGCTTGTGCTGTGGTGTGAGTTGCTCTGTCTTGACTGCAGTGTCCTGCTGTTCCTTCCCAGGTTTTATGGGGCACTTCTGGGCTCTGTCTGCATCCTTTATCTGCTGCCCCTCTGCTGGGTCCTGGCTATCCTCAACAGCACTCTCTTCCTGGGCAACACCCAGTTCTACCAAGGTAAGAGATGCCCCTGGAAGTGGCCTGTGTGGGATAGGCTCGGGAAAGGCCCTCTGAAGCTCTCCCAGCACCTTCATGTGAGCCCAGTGTCCTGTGTTGGGCTCTGCCATGGGACCTGAACCTCCCCGAGGGCAACAGTGTCCTAGGGATGGCGCTCAGCAGCCCGGGTTGGGTGGCGGGATTTTGGGGCTTAGCTGTGAGAGGCAAGAGTCTCTCCTGATGTGTGTTCTGGCCTGGGTGTTGTTTCCTGCTCTCCTCTGCTCTGTGGCAAACCAGGGCCTGGCCACACAGCCTGTGCGTGAGCATCGCCACCCCTCTCGGTCCCTGACCCTGCTGTGCAGGACTTGAAATGCTCTTGGTGCCTGTGGCAATGCATGACACAGGCTTGAAAACGTGCTGTCAGAGGGAAGGAGAAGAGCTGGAGGTGCTCCCTGTTCTGTGGCACGTGCTGTAGGAGAGTTGGATGAGATCTCTGTGGCTGAGCCATGACTAAGGCCTCTTTTGTTTCCTGTCCTGAGCTGAGGCAGGTGTGGGGGGGCTCATTGCTGCCCTAACTTGGATGTGTGAGCAGAGGAGGGCTCAGGGTACCTGATGGATGAAGGTTGTATGTGCCAATGTCCCACCTCGAGCCCTGGAGATAGGCTCTTGCAGCTGACTTTCCTGTGGTGGGGCTGGGAAAAGGGAAGTGCCACTCTGCTCCAGCCGCGGTCCCCTTTTACCAGTGATAATGGAGCTCAAGGCCTCAATCGAGCAGTGTGTGGGCACCAAACCCCTCGAGAGTACTCCAGAGCCTGACGAAACCCTGCCAGATGCTCCCCCCCCAGATCGGACTCCCACACCCACCAGCACAGAGGTGAGATAGGGGCAGAGCTGGCAGCTGTGGGGTGGGAGCTTCAAGGTTGGCCTCTAGGTCTGACTGTGCCTGTGTCCCTCTACCCACAAACTATCTGCCAGCTTTGCTGGAAGCCGTTGAGACCCTCCTGAGTTACTGGAGGCCTTCCTTGCTGCACTGCGGGCTTGGCTCATTCCTTTTGCTACATGTAAGGATGCAGTCTGGGATGGCAGGGGCTCACCTCACCTTCTGGGACTCATGTCTTCTCATGGGGCTGCCAGGGGCCTGGTCCTTTGTCTTGGAACCTGCTGCAGAAGTGTGGGCCCACCTTTGGACAGGGGTGGGGGTACAGCAGGGCTAGCTCTGTGAATCTCTCGCAGGACCTTACCCCCGGCAGTGTGGAGGAGGCGGAGGAGGCAGAGCCTGACGAAGAATTCAAAGATGCTATCGAGGTTTGAGGCTGGTGGGGGTGGGCTGTGCCTGTGGGGCAGCTGAGGTGGGAAGGGCTGAGGGCCTTGGTGGGCAAGCTGGATACTCATGGAGGGTGGCTGCAGGGCTGGGCACCTTTGACTCCATCTGTACTGCCTCTCCTCTCTGTCCTATGCTGCGGGAGAAGGAGAACCAGCTCCTGGTCATGGTGAGTACAGCCATGCCAAGGTGTGCAGGAGGGGCATCTAATCCCAGCTGCAGCTGGCAGCCTCTGCCTGGTTTGCTAGTGGCTTGTGGCGATGCCAGGTGGAGCATCCTGCTTGTTGGGTGCCCACCTCTGGGGTGGGCTGTCCTGCAGCCCTCGAGCATGCCCCCAGCCACCCCTCTGTGCTCAGCGGGCTCTGCTCTCTGCAGGAGGATGACGAGAGCTCTCAGTGCTCAGCAGATTTTGACCTCAGCCTCCCAGACAATGGTTTTATGAGCAAAAATGAGGTGATCCGCAGCAAGGTGTCACGCCTGACTGAGCGCCTGCGCAAGCGCTACCCCAGCAACAACTTCGGTAAGTCTGGGAGCAGGCACTGCTTGGGGAGCTCAGCAGTGTGGGGTCTGTGCTGCTCCCAGTAGTAACCACTGATGTGGGAGTGGACAGAATGGTGTGGTAGCTGCTAGGTCTGTGCTGACACCTTCAATGACCTCTCCCTTCCATGGGGAAGATGTTCCCAGCCCTGCTAGGAAGGGTGAGGATGGGAGGGTGCAGCAATGTTGTCTCCAAGCTGAGCCTTTACAACAGCTGTGGGTGTTCCTGTACCTCTCGCAGTCCCGGGCAGCAGAGCCCTGCCTGACCTCTGCTCTCTTTCTTCCAGGGAGCTGCACGGGCTGTGCAGCCACATTCTCTGTGCTCAAGAAGAGGGTGAGTCTTCAGCTTCTACTCCAGCTTGCTGCCTGCACCTGGGGCAGAGGTGTTGCATGTGTCTGGCTTGCCCTGGCTTTCACCAACAGCTCAGGTGGCTGGCCGCAGTCACAGCCAGCAGCAGATGACCTCAGCTAAGTTCTGGGTGTTGTCACATGCCTAATAGTGCCAGGGATCCATTGTGCCTCTGCCTGTTTGCTCCTTAGGAAGATGCCTCAGGCCAAACGAGTGTGTGCTGGTATAGAAGGCAGGTGCTCTCTGTCCTGGCTTAGCCCATTTACTGTGGCCTGAGAGCTTTCTGGTGAAGCCGAGCATGGGTCTGCTTGTGGGAACTAGAGGAGCAAGGACCACCCTTGTCTTATCTGAGCCCCTGCACGTGATGCTTGGCGCATGGTCCCCTGGCCAGTTCTGGGAAGGACATATCTCTTGTCCTCGCCAGACTCACATTGCTGTCTTCCTGCTGCCTCCTGTTTTCCAGACTCATAACCCCCTCCCCTCACTCCTGGGTTAGTCTGATATACATCTGGGACTCTGAAGTTTGTGTCCCACCCGGGTTACAGCACAGAAAATTATATAGTGTCCTTAAAGCTTCCAGAGCCTGTGCTCCCAGTGCTTTCTCAGGTTGGGCACAGGCTGCCTGTGATGTTGGAGCATACTTGAATGCAGATCCAGTGTTAGGCCTGGATGATTTCTCCAGGTGTTGGCAGATGACCCCTCTGCTGTTGCTGAGCTCAGGGCTTGCACACACTCCCTTTCAGCAGGGACTGCTGTTAGCAGTGCTTTGGCACTGGAGTTTGATGGGGAGGGCTGGGAGTGGGCCTAGAGTAGAGTCTCATCTCCATCTCTCTCCACAGCGGAGCTGCAGTAACTGTGGGAACAGCTTCTGCTCCAGGTGTTGTTCCTTCAAAGTCCCGAAAGCTGTGATGGGAGCCACGGGTGAGTGGAAAGGTGGAGGAAGGAGAGCTCCTGCTCCCACATCTGCTGTCTGCTGCAGGGATTCACCCCAGACCTGGTGGGGAGGGTAGACAGGACCTGCCCAGTGCATCCTGGCTCGAGACAGAGCGGTGATGGGTGAGCAGCTCCGTGGCTGGGGTCCTTAGCCCCAGGGTGGAGCAGGGGAACATCGCTGACACCTGCTTTCCTTTCCAGCCCCGGAGGCTCAGAGGGAGACGGTGTTTGTGTGTGCTCTGTGCAACCAGGTGCTCATCAAGTGACTGAAACAGGCCCAGCCAGCTCCTGGGTCCGGCACTGCCTGACACCCGGGACTGCGGGTACCCTTGCAGCCAGGAGCCTGGACTGCTTGGTGCCCAGCGTGGTGTCACCCTGCCAGAGGATGCTTGCGCTCACTGCTCCTCCTGCCAGCACCAGGCTGGGAGCAGACCAGCCCTCCTTGCCACATGGCATCTGCTGCACCAGCTGGGTCCCAGCGCGGAGCACTGCCCACAGCCGTGCCTCATCCCTGCAGCTGCTCCAAGCCCTGGGTGCTCCCTGGCCCTCGCTGCCCCCTGTCACGTACCTGCCCAAGCCCTGTGAGCTGGCTCAGTGATGGAAGAGCCATCCTTCCCACTTGCAGTCCTACCTCTACCTCCCGGGTAGGGCAGAACAACCTCAGGGCTCTGTCCTTACCTTTCCCAGCACTGTGTTAGGTGACTGTATTTTTGGGATCAAGTCGGAGCTCTACCCGAAGCCCCAGGAGATGTGGTCTTTGGTCCTGGCTCAACCGAGACCCTTTAGTCACTCCTCTGCTCCTTGGCTTCACTGCCTGCACATTTAGTCTCCCCCCACCGTATTTGACTGTAGCACAGAGGAGGCAAGAAGGTAAGTTTGGGCTGGGCTGTGTGGCCAGGTCTCCAGCTGCAGCGTGAGAAGAAGCATGAGTTGGTGCTGCTCTGTGCACATAGTGACTGCTGCTTTTTACTACAGATTAATATATAAGTGTATATAGAGAATGACCAATAAATCTCTTGCCCTGAGCTGGCTCTTGTGTTGCCTGAGTGAAAGCTGTCCCAGTCTCGGGTCACCTGGGTGCCTCGGTGGCCTTGGCCCCGTTGTCCTGCAGGTGGTCACAGGGAAGCGGCGTGTCTCCCCCACCAGCTCTCCTTGCTGACTGGGGTTTCCATCTTCTGTCATGCTGTGCCCTCGTTTGCCCCCTGCTCAGGGCTGTGTGCAGCTGCACCTCCTTGGCTGTGCCAGGGCCACATCCTGCTGGGCTGGAGCCATGGAGAAGCTCAGCTCTGGCCAGAGCTGCTGGGCTTCCTTCCCCCCCCCCCCCCGGGGCTGCTCCTTCCCCTGGCCTACCCAGGCGGTGGTCCCGGCAGCTGCCTTCGCGCACAAGGGTGACCTTTCCCTGAGCGAACAGCAAAGCTACCAGCTATGCCAGGAATGTGACCCTGGCTGCCATGCAGCTGGGCATGGCCATGGCCTGGGTCCGTGCCAGCCAGCTGCAGCTCCCCCTGGCTGGGGATGGTGCTCTTGGGCTGGCGTTGCTTAGTGCCCACCAGGCTCTGACACCCACCGGCCTGAAATGGTGCTGGGGACCCAAATCTTGCTGCTGATTGTACACTCCGCCAGCATGGCAGCTCGTGTGGGGCAGCCTGAGCCCTCTTCTTGGATGTGGGCTCATAAACCCCTTCCTCAAGTTGTGCCCGATAGAAACTTGGGGAAAAGCTGGAGTTGGCAGTGATGATGAGGGTGTCTGAGTTGTGCTGGACGTGCTCCAAAGCCAGGGGGGGTGTGTGTGTGGGGGGGGGGGCTGGAATGCAGGGGGCTCAGCAATTACTGAGAGCGGTGGAGCAGCTGTAACGCTGGGGGGGGGGCTGCGTAGCACCTCAAGAGCCGTGGGATTATGTTTGTGGGTGGGGGGCTGTATTTGCAATGGGGTGAGAACTGGTCTGCAAGGGGTGGGGGGGGTTGAGCTGTAAAGCTCAGACAGACTAGAGTGGGAGGTAGAGAGAAGTTCCTTGTCTTTCTAGAGAAAACACTTGGAGCAATGAGCGCAATGGCCATGTATGTCTAAACACTCCCTGGAAAGATGCTAATGACGCAAAATACAGAGGTCTACAGATAAACTTGGACTGTGGGAGATGGGGTTTTATTTGCACACTTTAAGTTTTGCAGTAAAATGACATAATTGATGATGTTTATTCCTATGGCAGCAGGCTCAGCAGCCTTGCTCTGAACATAACCTTCTAACAGTATTTGAGTTTATTCTGCATTTTTTTTTTTTCCATGTTGGCCAGGTTGGAGGGTGGGGGCAGTAACCGCCTGCCCCCAGTGTGAGGCTGTGGCAGGGGGTGGGTGCCCCACGTCCCTGGCTGGCTGCGGGTCAGGGGCATGTCCCCCTGGCTGGGGCAGGGTGTGAGCGCCCTGTGGGGCTCTGAGGGGTGGCCTGTGGGGCCCAAGGAGGGGCAGAGGAAGGGGGGGATCACCCTGGCATGGGGCAGGTGCCCAGTGGCCTTGTCAGCTGGGAGGAGGGTGGGCACAGGCGTCCCGCAGCCTCAATTCCCCTCTTGTCCCGGGAGGCTCTCCTGTGGCGGGGCCAGCTCCGGTGAGAAGCCGCAGTGTCAGGCAGCCAGGCGCTGGGTAAATATCCCGGCGGCTGCCTTCGTGCCTCCCTCACCCAGCGGGACGGGTGGACGCAAGAATGCACTGGGTAAACAGGACTGGAGTGGGACTGGGGCGGGTGGGCTGCACCCCCCCTTGCCTGCTGGGATTTGGGGAGGCTGCTGGGGCAGAGGCAGCTTCTGCTCCAGGACTGGGGGGAGCTGAGGCGAGCGGCAGCACCCTGCTGCCATCAGCGGGGCCAGGCTGAGGGCCATCCCGGTCCTGGTGCTGCTGGGGGGGGGTGGTCCTAGCTGGTGCAGGTGGGTGGCCCCAGGGAACCTTGTGGGAGGAGGCTGGAGGTTGTGGGGTGGGAGGTCTGGCAGCTGAGCAGGGCTGGCTGGGGGCTGCAGACAGGGTTTTCAGGTGGCATGGAGGTGGGGTGCCCAGGGATGGAGACTGCCTGGTCCAGGGTCTGCCCCCTACTGTGCTCAGTGCCAGGCTCCTCGCATGTGCTTCCAACTCCCAGCCTGTGGATCTGACCCCCAGGGGTGACAGAGGGAGAAACCTCTCTGGCAAACACCCTCAGAACAAGCTGTGGGGTTTCAGCAGCACCAGTGATGCCCCTGTCCGCCCCCCCCATCCTCCACATCTCACCCCCCTCCCAGGCTTCCTGATGTGGCAGGGGTACCTGAGCCTTCAGCCATGCCTGCGACTGCTGGGAGCCTCATCCCTCGGCTTGGCCGGGCTGCCCAGCCTCGGGCTCTGGAGCAGAGCTAGGGCCGGAGCCCAGGCTGCCCCCACTCCTCAGAGGGCAGGACCAGGAGACCCCCTCCCATCCTTCCTGGGGTCCTCGAGGGAGCCCCAAGGGGCAATTGGCCACGAACCACAGGGAGCTGGACACAGGGCTCTCCGAGGTGGAATAATTTACTGTGGTGTGGATGGGCAATAGGTGCCTGGGCTGGGTCTTAGTGGGAGTGGGTGTGAGGGATGCAGCAGGGCTGGTCTGGGGGGCTTGGCGGTGGAGCCCCCCTTCACTGAAACATGTGGGATGGGAAGGGTGGAGGAGCCCAGGCAGGGGCCGTGCTACTCTGGGCACTTGGTCTTGAGGGGGCCAGTCTGTGGGGACAGTGGGGCAGGAGGGATCTGCCATGGCTGGGGTGGGTCCCTGTGAAGGTGGGATCATTCGTGGCTGGGGTGTGAGCTTAAAGTGAGGGTATGAGATGCTCTGGTGGATTTGAGGGGGCTGAGGGTCTGGGGCATGTCATGAAGGAGCTGGGCAGGGAACACAGAGGTGCAGGATAGCGGTCTCAGGCACAGCTAAGGGGTCCCAAGAGAGCCAAGCAGGGATCCTAAGTGCATGCAAGGGTCCCTGGGGTGCCGGGCAGGGGGCTTAAGAGTAAGTAGCCAAGGGTCTCTGGTGCAGATCAGGGCTCATAAGCATGCAGAGCAAGGGTCCTGGGTGCAACCTAAGTTCCTGGGTGTGGGCAGGGGTCATGGGAGCAGAACAAGGGTCTCAGGGGTGCAGAGCAGGACTTTCAGGAGTAGGCAGGGGTCCTGACTGTGGATCAAGGCTGCCAAAAATGCAGTTGAGAATCCTGGGGGTGCAGAGCAGAGTCCTGGCGCACAGCTAAGGAGTTGAAGGGAGCAGAGCTGGGGTCCTGGGGTGCAACCAGGGATGCCAGGGGTGTAGCGTCAGGTCAGTGCAGGAGTCCTAGGGTGGGGCAGGGTGGGCAGAGCCTAATGCTGCCCAGCCCCATAGAGCAGGGGGTGGTAGAGGGGGCAGGGGTAGGAAAACATGAACTTGACGGCGAACTTCATTTCCTTGTTGTGCTTCTGCCAGGGGTAGATGGCGAGGAGGAGCAGGCGGCTGCCCACCTTGCGGCCCATCACCAGGAAGCTGCCGCTGAGGCTGTCAAGCTGGGGGCAGGGGCAGGCGCCGGCGTTCCTCATGTGCAGGACCATCTTCTTGGTGTCTTTCCGCTTGAGTGGGCCCAGCTTCAGCACCTTCTTCTTCTGGGCGGCCACCAGCCGCCGCTCCCCGTTCTCCTCCGTCATCTCCTTGATGCGCATCTTCACCACTGTGTGGGACAGCCATGGGGCATAGTTCGGGGTGGGGGGACTGCTGTGGGGCACTGCTGGGGGGGGGGGATCTGGGCCAGTTGCCTGTGTAGGACAGGATGCAGCCCATTCCTGGGGTGGGACCCAGTAGAAGGTTGTCTGGGGAAGTTACTGTGTGGGGTGGGGAAGGGGCTGACAGGGGGAGGGGTTCAGCAGAGGCTTCCAGTGACCCTCCCCAATGTCCCATTCTGCCTGTCCCGCCACCACTGTCTTCTCCTGAGGTGCACCCATCCAACGCACATAGGGTCCAAGGAAATGGCTCCGGGGGAGGTCTCCCCCAGGGCTGTGCCCATACAACTGAGCCCTCTGGCCAAACCCCACCTGGGCTATCAGAGCTCGGGAAGGCAGTCCCTTGTTCAAGGATGGGTGAGGAAGTTCCCCCAACACTCACCAAAATCACTGGAGCACATCTGCTCCATCATGCCATCCGCCTTGTGCTCCATCTCACACTGGGTACAGATCTTGGACACTGTGGTGAGAGACCAGCCACTGTCACAGCTCCCTGCTGCTGGCGCCTGTCACCCGGGCCAGCTCTGCAGGGACACGCTGCAAGAGCCCCAGCAGCAACTCTGCTCCCTTGGCAGCTGTTCTGGGGTGAGGTGGGGGTCACAGAGCACCTCGCTGGCCAGCATCCCAGCACACACACACACACACACACACACACATGCCCAGGAGTGGATGGCATATGGGACATGCTCCATCCAGATGCCAACACTTTGGGGCACAGCAGCAGCAGTGAGGGTGGCCCCAGCCTGAAGGGTGTCACAGCCTTGATCCTGACCCTGGGCTGCCTTTGTATGATGTCATCTCTGCTGCCTGAGAGGACCTTGTGACAGCAGCATGGGGCTGAGACCCGCAGGATGCAGGATGCTCGTTGCTGCTGGGATGGGACCCCGCGGGAGGAGAGGGACACAGCTCTGTGGCAGGTCCCCCAGTGGCTTCCACACCATCCCCTGTTCACCCCTAGTGCTGCTCCCATGGCTGCTTTTCTCTCCCCTGTCCTGGGGCAGCTTTGTGCAGGCAGCTGGGTGCCCGGCTCCCCTGGGCAGCGAGCGGTGCCCAGACAAAGCAGCTGATGCTGCTGGTACTGTGCCCACTCGTGTCCAGCTGCAGACAGAGGGTCCTTGGTCAGTGCCAGTGCCTCAGGCTCTGATTCAAGGAGTGCAGGAATAGGGGTGTGGGGGCTCCACAGGGGTACCCTGCGTGCGGGTCCCCAGCTACATGGCGAGACACTGATGGCAGGTGCCCCACCTGCATCCCCATCCCCTCATGGTGCCCTTCCCACTTACCTGGTGGTGGGGTGGCCTTGCTATTCCCAAACTGGACGGCGATGCAGAGTTCATGGTCGGAGGGGAACTTGCTGCAGTGCAGCATCTCGGGCCAGGGGAAGCCATAGGACTCCATGACGGGGGCACAGGAGTCACGCACCACCTCGCAGAGAGAGCGGCAGGGGTAGACGGGCCGGTCGAGGCAGACGGGGGCAAAGAGGGAGCAGAGGAAGAGCTGGGTGTCGGTGTGGCACTGCTTGGCGAGCAGGGGCACCCAGCTGCCAGCCTGCTGCTTGGCCTCAGCCATGGTCTCATGCTCCAGCAGGTTGGGCAGCCGCATGCGCTTGTAGCCCACGTCGCGGCAGAGCTGCATGTCGGGCGGGATGTCGAGGCACTGTGGCTCCCGCCCGTAGAAGCGCCCGTGGGGCAGGCTCTCGGGCTGCCAGCCGTAGTAGTCGTAGTGCTGCCCGCCGCCCGGGGACCCGGCCAGCGCCAGCGCCAGGGCCAGCAGCGCCGTGACCCGGCCCCCCGAGGGGTCGCTTGCCCGCGGCATCGCCGCTGCCCGCCTGCTGCCGCCGGCCGTGCCTGCCGAGCGGGACGGGAGCGCGGCTCGGCGCGCTGCCTGCTCCCTTAGCGCCTCCCACGCTCGCCGCCCTTTCTAAGGAGCCCGGGGAGGCCTCACCGGCAGCCAATCTGCTCCGGCTGCCGGGCCCCCCCTGGGGCTGGCCCCCCCCGGCCCCACGCCAGCCTGCCCCGCTGGCCACCCTGCTGCCGCTTGCCCTCCCGCCCCGCTGCCCCGGCCCTCCCTCCTCGAGCAGCCAGGTGGGTGCATGGCACTGCATGCCCCTCGCCCCCCCAGGGAACCCCCTGAGTGCAGCCCCCTCAGCCCACCCCAGCTCCCTGTGCCCCTGGGGCGATGCCCGCTGGAAGGTCTGGCTCACCTGCCCCACAGCGATGTGTTGTAGGTGCAAGGTGCCCCCATTATCCACCAGCCCCTCCGCCCTCAATCCGCCTGGAACCCTGCCCTGGCATGTGGTAGGGGACCCTGGTTCCTACCCTGTGCCCGCCCCCAACTCTTGTGCCTCATGGGGGTATGGGTTTTGGGGATGCTTGGGCTGTAGGGGATGGAGGAGCAGGACACCCCAGAGGCTTCATGCTGCAGCACTGGGGGCAGCTGGGGTACTCCTGTGCCAGGTGCCATGTATGGCACCAATGCCAAGGCAATGGCATGGGATCCCTATTCCTCATGGATGGCCCCGCCAGCATGCACCTCAGGCAGCCCATGGTCTGCTGGCCACAGACGGAGCTGCGGTTACACCTCCCAGCAAAGGGCTTCCACCCAGGCTCTGACTGTGCCCAGGGCATGGGCAGAGCTGGAGCCCAAGCAGTGTGAGGGTCCTGCTGGGACCACATTCCCCCATCCCCTTGGAGATTGCCTGGGCCCTGGAGATTGCCAGGGGTGCAAGGCTCAAGACCCCATTAGAAACTCATTTGTCTGCAGGGGTTATCTGGGTCACACCCTCCCCTTCCCATGATCAATTCCTCTGCCTGGCCAACGGGCTCTAGGCTGCCTCTGGCCCCTGCCTGCCGGATAAGTCACCTCTGTTAATGGGCGACAGAGCAAACAGCCCAGTGCAGGCAGCGATAGCAGCTGCCCTTTGCCCTGAGCTGGGGGCAGGGACTGTCACCCCAGCCCTGGTGGGATCCATCTGCTTTGGCACTGTGCTGGGAACCTCACCCGCACAACCTGCACTTGCCTGCAGCTTGCCTGCCCTGCCCATGCCCTCCTTGCTGGCTGCAGTGCCTGTCACTGCATTGCCCAGTGATGCTTGCTGCTGGCCTGAGGGTGGGCTGAGCTCATCCCACCCTGGCCAAGACCTGGAGATGGCACCATTAATGTGTAACTGCCGGAGAGTATGATAAGATAGAGTGGCCCTTTATCAGGGCTGCCCGGTAGCAGGAAGGAGGGTGCTGGAGGCATCGGGCTGTCACAGCAGGAGTGAGATTGCCTGGAGATAAATGCTGATAGAAAATAGCTAATCTGTGATGGATGGGCCAGGACAGGGTGTAATTGCCATGGGAGCTGTGCTGGGAAGGGGCTGGCGAGGTCTGGGAGCAGGACTGGGGAGGTGGAGACAGAGGGAGCCCGCGTGTGCGGGATGGAGCTGCCCATGTGCAGGATGCCAAGCACACCTTGCCCCGCGGGTGTGCAATGTCCCTGGGCTGTGCCCATGACACTGTCAGCACCGGTGTTGTCCTGCTCTTGTCCACAGACCAGATCGGGGCTCTCAGCCTGCCCTGTCCCCCAGCCCCGGTTCAGCCCCCAATACCCACAGTCCCTCCCAGGAAGGGGCTGGGGGTGCTGAGCACCCTGTGCCAGCTGGCACCCCACCAGATGGTGGGGCTGGGGGTGCAAGGGGGAGCGAGGGGCTCCCTGCCAGCTGGCCTGGTCCCCATGTCTGTCACGATGCCTTCATTAGAGCCACTGAGTCACCTCCTGGCAGCGTGGCCACGTTGGGGGGAGCAGGGCTGGCCCCCGGGGAGCAGCGTCTGTCCCCTGCTTCTGCCCTGCCAGGTGTCCCGGCAGCCTTGCTCCCAAGCTAAGACTGCGCCTCCGTTCTGGGGGGGTTCCCTGCTGCACCCTCATTGTGTCCTTAACCCCCTCCCACCTGAGGTGTCCCAGAGGAGGTAGATCTGGGCTGTACCCCAGGGAATGGGGTGGCTCCGGGGCAGCTGGAGCTGGCACCCTTCCCTGTGTCCTGTCTGCGTAGGCTGCTCCAGTGTCCACATCTCTGACCTGCACCCGCGCAGGCGGTCGGTTTGAGGACTGACACATGCGCCTGTCACTCCGGGGATCTGGCTGTGCCACCGCCTGTGTCACCTTTCACTGCAGCGAGACTGGAAGCGGGGCGATGGGGGCTGCCCCCTCCGCGGTGGGGACCTTGGGAACGGCCAGCCAGGGTGGCATGGTAAGAGGACATCCCCTGCGGGTGCCCCCTCACCACCCTGGGCCCTCCCTCCCCACGGGCCGGTGCCCGGTTGTAGCACAGAACAGATCTGATCCAGGGGAGCGTGAGGCTCCTGGGAAATGAGATGCTGAGCAGGGTTCCGTCTGCCTCTTTCCATCCTCCCTGCTCCCTCTCCCGCCACAGCTTTGGGTGCTGCTGACCTTGTTTCTGTGGGCAGAGATGCATCCCCTGGGCCTGGGTGGTCTGGGTGGGCTCCCCCACATCCTCCTGTCCTCCCCATCCCCTTGTTCTCTCTGTCCCAGATCTGTCCCAGTTCTGTCCCAGGCTCTTGGGACTCCTGGCTCCCGGCATGGGCTGCACCCACCGTGGGGCAGGGACCCTCGGGAAAGGACAGCACACCGGGGCTGGCCGTGCAGGGACACGCATCCCAGGGTGTCTGACAGCTCCTGGGAGAGAGCACCCTGGCATGGGGGGGGAATGTGGGGCCGGCAGTAGTGCTCCAGAGGGGTGGCCTCGCTTGGTGGTGGCTGAGGGAGGTCGGGGCATGGCTGGGGACACCGTGGGGCCGAACTGGCCTGGGGGCGTGGGACCGTCTGGGGGGGGGCGGGGGGGGGGGGGGGCAGTGGGCAGGGGCTGTGCACTTGCCCTGCGCCCACACACGCTCCCGCTTGCCCGGCAGCCCCAGGAATGCGGCTGGCAGCACTCCCGGCCCAGTTGCGGGGCCGAGGCTGCCCTGGCGTCCTCCCAGCCCCCCCGGCACCTCCTGGCCTTGCCCAGCTCCTGCCAGCCTGCACACAGACCCCCTGTTTGCTGCTGGCCCCCCGGGTCCTGGCCCCCAGCCCCGCTCTGTGGGCCGAGGAGGGGGCACGTCCCATGCAGGGACACCGCTGGGGAAGAGCCCTTTTGCCTCACAACATAATAGCGTGCATGGGGATGTGGGGACCCTCTCTGCAGTGCTGCTCGTCCCCTCGCCTGGCTGGGGAGGTGAGAAAAGCCACCCACGTCTGCTCCCAGCACAGCCCTGTCCCCAGCGTTGGGGACAATCCTTGCACAGCACCGGTTCCCAGCCGGCGCCTTTGCCAAAGCTGGACCTTAGCACTTTGCTCCAAAACCACATCCTCCTCTGTTTGCCTCTTTGCAGGAGGATGCTGTGTCCACCCCTGTGCACTCTAGCAGGGTGTGCTGGGGGGCTGCCCCCACGCTCTGTGGGTGCTCCCACTGCGATGGGGTCCCAGCAACACCCATTGGGATGGACCCAGCTGGATGTGGCAGTGCTGCATGCACCGCAGAGGGGTGCCTAGCCTCAGGGTGCCCATCCTCAGGGTGCCCAGGCTATAGGGCTGTTGGGCCCCAGTTTGGGGCAATCTCCATGTCCTGCATGAAGGAGCAGGCTGGGGCACTTGGAGATGTTTTCCAGTGGCTCCCAGTGTGGGGGATGTCGTGTGTCGTCGTCCCCCCCCCCCAATACTGGTGCACACACCTGGCATCTCCCAGGAAAGGTTATCAGATAACCACCCTGCCCTGCTGTCTCTGCGCGCTTCCCAAATGTCACCGTTGTCATCACTGGGGCTGTGAGCTCATGTTTCCCCCCACCTCCCCATTAATGAAAGCCCCCCCCGCACCGTGTGAAGCAGCTGCCAGGGACTGGCCCTGCCATGGCCCCTTTGAAGCAGAGATGGAGCTGCTGACAGCCCTGACAGGCTGGGGAAGGGGCTCGGCAGGCAGTGGGTGCAGGATGGTGCCCCAGGGTTGGTCCTAGGCTGGTCGCAGGGCTCCAGCTGTCCTCCACAGCCCCCAGCCACCATGCTGGGACTGCAGGGAGGGTCAGGGTGCCGGGATGGGGTGCAGCACTGTGCACTTGGAGACACCCCCTGGTCCTAGCCTGGGAGCCAAGCACAGGACCTGGACCAGGGGTAGTGCTGGGCCATGGCTGCCATGCTGTGGTGGGCATGGGCATGCTGGCTGGGCAGTGCTGGCCATAGGGACCCCAAGCGTGCCCCATGTCTGTCCCGTGGGGCCAGGGGCAAAGGTTCTGGGCAGTCAGGCAGAAGCAGGGGCAAGGAGATGTCTGCAGGGTCTGTCTGTGGAATGGGTCAGTGTCCCCTTGCTCCAGGCCCAGGGGAGGACTCAGTCAGTGGAGTAAAGGCAGCTCTGGCAGCAGCCTTGAGTGTGGTGCCTGCCCCTGCTGCCAGACAGCCTAAAAATAGCCCCGTGGGTCTCAGCAGATGGAGCAGAAGGGCCAGAGCACTGTTGCTGCAGGCACCCTGCCAACCTCCCGCGTTGTGCCGGGGGCTCAGCAGGGCCACGCAGCACTTTGGGGATGCCTCAAGTCCCTGCTGCCCTGCTTCTACCACCTGGGATGCCATCAGCTACGCCAGTCCCCCTCTATCTATGCCGTCTACCTATGCTGTAGCATGGCATGGCATGGCAGAGCATGGCACAGCATGACATGGCATGACATGGCACAGCATGTCATAGCAGCAGTCTGTCCCCTCTGCATGGAAACCAGAAGGGTCTGTCCCTTGCTCCTGATGGTGTATCCTGCATGGGGGGGCTGGCAGGCCCCGCTGGACTCCAGCGATGCTGGGGGGTTGCGGGCACCATGGGCAGGGCCAGGGGCTGTGTGGGGATGGGGAGCCCTGTGGGGCAGGTCCAGGCTCTCCATGTCCTGCCTGCTGCTGGGCAAGGCTTGCTCCTGGGTAGTATGGCTGGCAGAAGGCGGCTTCCCATGATGGGGTGATGTCCCACCAAAGGACACTCCTTGACACGTGCCCTGGTCCTGCAGACAGCAGGTCCGCGGCTTGTGACGCAGCTATAGCCCAGAACTGAAGGTCCAGCACCTGGGCTGGGTCGGTGCAACCAGAAGAGTGAGGTCCCTGGGGTGTCAGGGACAGCTAGGCCCCCCCCCCCCCCCCCGGCTGCTCTCGGCCCCTCGCCGCGGCATGGGAGAGCAAACTTCATCTCTTGGCAGGCGCAGCATTGCCATGGCAACTGGCAGAGTGCTGCCAGGCGAGCGGGCCAGCCCTGACGTGGCGGTGACACGCAGCACGGGAAAGAGTTGGGATGCAGGGCCTGGGTTTGGGGGGCATCTGGGGACACGCTTGGGTGTGTGAGCACGCGCACGTGTGCCTGGGTGCGTGCCTGGGGGGGCATGGGGGGTGCAGGCAGACGTGAGAATCCAAGTGCAGGCATGAACGCCCACGTCCATGCGCACACGAGTGTGCATGTATGTGGAAGAGTTCATACACTCCCCCAGCTCTGTGGCACTGCCTGGGCAGGGGGTACCCCATCGCTTGGGGGTGTGGGCTGGCAGGGCTGCTCTGGACCACGGGAGCAGCAGGTTCCTCCAAAAAGCTATGGGATCTGTAGCTTTGTATTTGTGGGGGAGATGAGCCTTCCGACTCAGGTCCCTTCCTGCACGTGTCCTTTGGTCCCTTGGTCACAAGCCCCGCCACACACCAGAGCACAGGGGCTGCCCGCCAGCCACCCCAGGGTTCTGCCTCTATTTGCTCTGCCCAAAGCCTGGGCTGATGCTCAGCGCAGGGAGCGGGTGTCAGCTGAAGCTGTCCCTGTTTCGTCAGGGCCCCTGTGCCGCAGGGAACCGGCCGTGCTGCGTTGGCAGCCCGAGCAGACGTCCTGGCAGGGCCCCGCGCTGCCTTCAGCATCGCTCAGGTGTTGAGGAAAGGGCTGGCTGCTCTCCTGCCTGACGAGGGCCCTGTGCCCAGCCACCGCATCCCTCCTGCCTCCCCGTGGCCCCCCGCGGTGAGCACCCCCTCCTTCGCCTCTCGGGAGAGCCTCCGTTCCCAACCCCCCCGTTTGGCATTTCTCTGGCTGTAATTGAGCTGTCAATGGGCAGAGATAACAGGGAATTCGTTAGCTCTCCTCTTTGATGTCTGCCCACACTGCGATCACAGCACCCGCGCCGGAGTGCAGCGCCAGCTGCAAATCCTTCGCAAACAAACAGCTTCAGCCGAGGCCCCTTTGGCATGGCAGGCTGCCCGCACCACGGCCGGCCCCCCCAAATCCCCCACCGGGGCAGCCCCACGGCCCCCCAGGCCCCCGGTTACACCCCCTCGGCAGCCAGTTCCCCCCGGGGAACCTACAGCCGCATCGCCGGGCCCTGGTACCCGCAGCGCTGGAGGGACCCCCCGGGACCTACAGCCCCGCCGCCTCGCAGCCCCCCCCCGCTGGGAGCACCCGGACCCCGGCACCGTCGACCCCAGCAGCGCGGCCACGTTCCCCAGGGTCTGCGCGCCGGTAGCGGCGGGCGCCCATCCCCGCCGCCTCGGGGCGGGCCGCGGCGGGCCGGGCGGCTGCGCACACGGGGCGGCCGGTCCCGCCTCCGCCGTTCGGCACAGCAGCACCGCGGACAGCGCCGGTCCCCCCCCCCGCCCGGCTCGGCACGGCCCCGGTGACAGCGCCGCGTCCCCCACCCCCACCCCACCCCGCCCCACGCCCCGCACAGCCCGGCCCGGGCGCACGCCGCGCCATGGCCACGGAGGTGGGTGGGTGCGCGGCGGCACGGCGGGGGCCACCTCGGCAACGGGCACCTCCCGGAGCCGGGCCGCGGGCGGAGCACCCCCCCCTGCTCTGCCATCGGCAGGCCGGGAGCGGGGGGGAAGGGGTCCGCGTGGGCTGCGCTGGTGTGGGAGGGCAGCGTGGGGCTGGGGTCCGCGTGGGGTGCACCGGGAGGGGTTTAGCGTGGGGCTGGGAGGGGCGCGCGGTCTGTGCGCACAGAAAGGACAGTGTGTATGTGGGGTGCCTGGAGGGGTGGGGGGGTGACGGGGGGAGGGGGGGTGCAGGTCGCCCTTGTTGGAGGGAGCAGCGTGGGTCTGGGTGGGGTGTCCTGGGAGGAGAGGTGGCTGTGGGGCTGGGGGTCCCTCTCCCAGGGGCCATGGGTGGGACCTGGGACAGGCAGAGGTTCTGTGGGGCGCACAGCGGGCGGTGGCCCCATGTCACCCAAGGGGAAGCACAGGGAGGGGCCTGACACCTGCCCTTGCCACAACCGGGCCTCTCCATCCTCCTCTCCATCCCCCCACAGCTGCCCCACAGCCAGAGCCCGGGGGGCTGGCGTGGGCCCTCATACCCCGTGGGGTGTCAGGGCTGGTGGGGCTGGGCTGAGCGCCCGCCGCCAGGGCTGCCGAGACCGCCGGTCCCTTTTGTGCAGCCGCCCAGCTGCAGCCTGCCCGCCCGCTGCGCTGCTGCTGCAGACCCGCTGCCCGGCCCCCTGCTCCTGCTTGGCCCGCTTCCCGCCTCCCCTCTGGGAGCTGGGGGGGTGGCTGTGTGGTGGGGATGGGGGCTGTCCACTCCCCGGGGCCGTGGCCCACCAGAACACGCACACCCACGCGTGCAGCAACCAGGGCAGGTGAGGCCAAGGCACCAGCCCCGGGGCAGGGAGCACACGCACTCACCCACAATCCGAGCAGGGGGCTGTCGCGACATCCTCCCCTTGCTGCCATCCTGCCCTCGCCTCGGTCTCGCACCTCCAGCGCTGAGCTGTGCTCACAGCGTGACACAGCCTGCGCTGGGGGGTCCCTGCCCCGGGGGGTGTGAGCCCTGCAGCCCCTGACACAGGCGGAACGGTGCTGCTCTCCAGGCCCCCAAGTCCCCCAGCAGGGATGTCTGGCACCCCACAGCTGCGGCCCCCCTGGCTCACCCTGCTACCCCCACAGGTGCACAGCCTGCAGGAGCTGCGGCGCAGTGCATCCCTGGCCACCAAAGTCTTTGTGCAGCGGGATTACAGCGACGGGACCACATGCCAGTTCCAGACAAAGTTCCCCCCTGAGCTGGAGAGCCGGGTAGGGCGCCTGGTGGGCTGACAGGGTGCAGGGTGCCCTATGTTGGTACTGGATGGGGGCTTGGGGTCTGAAGGCATGAGGCCCCCACGGGGTGTTGTATGGCCCTGGTCCAGCCGATGCTGCTGGGTGCATGCAATCACAGCTGCCTTGCCTGGTGTGCAAGGGCTTGGGTGTTCCTGGGGACCAGGAGGGTCTGGTGAAGGGTTGCAAGCTGAGCAGGTCTTGGCATGGGTGGGAGGTGGGCAGGGGCCAGGGATCTGAGGCATCAGCTGGGCAGGGAGGAGAGGGTTAAGTGCTCCCCAAGTGCCCCCAGGGATTGGGACAGGGCAGTGCAAGGGGTCAGCCTTGGGCCAGACTCCTCTTCACCTCAGTTTCTGCTCTAGATCGAGCGGCAGCTCTTTGAGGAAACCGTGAAAACCCTTAATGGCTTCTACGCCGAAGCAGAGAAGATTGGGGGCAGCTCATACCTGGAGGGGTGCCTGGCCTGTGCCACAGCCTATTTCATCTTCCTCTGCATGGAGACGCACTACGAGAAGGTGCTGAGGCCCCGCGGGGGGCTCAGGGACGGGCATGGCTGCAGGCCTGGCGGTGGGCACAGTGGTGGTACAGGGAGCAGGGGGGCTGGAGGCTGGAGCGGGCAGCGGTGCTGGAAGGCCCTGAGTGTCACCCCGTGTGCTGGCAGGTCCTGAAGAAGATCTCCAAGTACATCCAGGAGCAGAATGAGAAGATCTATGCGCCGCGGGGGCTGCTGCTCACTGACCCCCTGGAGCGTGGCATGAGGGTCGTATCCTTTGGGCAGGGGGGTGCTGGGGGGATGACAAGGGTGAGGAGTGGGGGTACACTGGGAGTGGGTGCTGGGCAATTGGGCTAGCCCATTTCATTGATGATCCTTATCAAGGCCCAGATCGAGATCTCCATCTACGAGGACCGGTGCAGCAGCGGCAGCTCCAGCAGCGGCAGCTCCAGCAGCAGCAGCGGTGGAGGGGGTGGTGGGGCGGGGGGCCGGTGACTGGCAGGGAGTCCCTGCAGGGACTCGTACTGCCGGGACAGTGGCCTCTCCGAGCTCCGCAGGCTGCACTACCAGAGCACCCGCTTCTGAGCCCAGGGTGGACGGGAGGGGGAGGCTGGGGGCTGCCCAGCTGGGCTGCCCACCCCACTCTGCTCTGTGCCCCCTGCAGTGGCTCTGCCCCTGCTCAGACCCACTGTGGGCAGGGGCTGGTGCTGGGGCATCCCAGGTGCTTCCCACTGAGCCGAACTGGTGCCAAGAGACTCCCGCAGCCCTCCGGGTGCTCAGTGCTGCTGCCCCTGCCCCAAGCAAAGGAGCTTGCCCTGCCGCGGGCAGCCCGAGCTGGCAGCGCCCTGTGTGCCATGCATTGGGGAGCAGTGGGACTGGCAAAGCCCCAGGCAGCGCTAAGCTGGGGGACACACACTTATCCCCATGCCCACGGGCACTGCCAGCCCTTGCTGCACCCAGTCCTTGGGGTGTCCCCACTTTTGGTGCTGCGGGGTGGGCTCAGCTGCTGCGTGCTTGCTGCCCAGGGTGCCTGGCAGAGCCCTGGTGCTGCTTTATCCGCATGATGGTTCCACGCATTCACCCCAGCCCTGCCCCATGCGCTGCCCATTGCTGCTCCCCAGCCCCGGCCAGATGCCCTCACCCATCTGGCAGCGGCATCCTTGCCAGCAGCATCCTTCAGCACTGCCCACAACACTGGGCACTTGCTTCTTGCTCCCTGCCTGACCTGGTGCCATCCCCAGCCAGACCCAGAAAGCTCCCAAGCCCCGTGCCCCAGGCAGGGAGGTACAGTGCTGGGCAGGCTCCTGCCTTTGTGCCATGTACCGCAGGCTCCTGCCTTTGTGCCATGTACCCCAGGCTCATGCATGGCCCAGCAAAGCGGAGGCTGAGCTGTGGCATGGGTGAGCCAGGCTCCCTGACCAGTCCTGGCAGAGCCTGCCCACTCCTGACTGCTGGCAGACCCCTGCCTGCTCTGCCCCATGACCTGCCCCAGTGCAGGGAGGGTGCCCAGTGGAGCAGCTCCACCAGGACCCTTCCTCTCCCACTGCTGAGCCCTTCCCTGCCCACGTGTCCTGCATGCATCTGCCACCAGAACCCCGATTCTCAGCTTGGCCTATGGTGGGGACCCTGAGGGGCACCTGGGCCCAGCTGCAAGGTGTGTGGGGTTCATGGGCCAGGGTCAGATGGGGGGGGAAGAGGAGGGTCCCTGTGACATCCAGCACCTCGAGAAGAGTCCCTGCCTGGGTGCAGAGCTGAACCAAGCCAGCACTGCTCTCCTGGGGTCCTGGAGGATGGACCCTGCCCCGTGGGACTCCCTTTAGCTCAGTCATGGCATGTGTGCAGGGTGGCCCTGGTCCTGCCGTTCCTGCTGGGGCCCCCCTGCATGGAGACCTTCCTCAATAAATCCTGTGCTTCATCCCCTGCCGCCTGCCCTGCGTCCTCCTGTGTCAGAGGGGGAAGCAGGGTGATGCTGGGGGGGGCACAAAGCCAGGCTGGGTTGCGGCGGGGGATCCCCCAGCACACAGAGGGGTGCACAGAGCCCCGCAGGGAGGGTGAGTATGGGGAAGATAAGGAAGGACAGATGCGGCAATCCATGGGAGGATGGGGACAGAGCCATGTAGCAGTCATGTGGTGCCGGTGACTGGGACCCATAGGGAAACCAGTGCAGGAAAGGGTTTATTCAGCTGGCACCGGGCACAACTCACACGGGGCTGGGGGTGAGCAGGGGGCACCCGGCTGTGCCGGGGCAGGCTAGTTGCGCCGGCAGTGCCCACCTGCGCCCAGGGAGAAGCCGCGGTGACAGTGGCAGTGGAAGGAGCCGTGGCTGTTGTGGCAGATATGGTTGCAGGGGCCAGGCTGTGCCTGGCACTCATCTATGTCTGGAAAGGAAGGGGAGAGGTTCAGAGCTGCACCAGGCGTATGGGGCTTGCCTGGCATGGGCAGGACAGGGGGTGGGGGGGTGGCGTGGCAGGGGGCGGGGGGCAGCTCTGGGGCTGAGTGAAGCTGGGACACAAACGCATCTCCTGCAGCCACACAGGTGCAGCCACAGTCCCCAAAGCAGCTGGGTGGCAGATGCCACCTCCCTCCATCAACTGCAAAGCCACAGTCTGTCCATCCTGCCCCCCATGTTTTGGGTTGGCAGGGACCAGGGCTATGAGCACAACGGGGCACCCCAGGAAAGAGCATCCCTGCTCCCAGGGCAGCGCGGCTGCGCCTGGCAGCGGCGGGTGGGTGGGCACCGCGGGCTGCCGGCCCCCCCTGCCTGCAGGTACTCACCCAGGCACTGGCTGGCAGCCGGATCAAGGGGGTGGAAGCCCGGGTGGCAGTGGCAGGCGTGTGCCCCAGGGGTGTTGGTGCAGAGCTGGCTGCAGTTGTGCAAGCCCTGGGAACACTCGTCGATGTCTGGTGGTGGGGAAGAGAGCAGCAGGGGGTTACAGCACGTGGGGAGAAGGCAGCGCGGCCCTGTTGTTGCTGCGGTGTGGGCAGGGCTGCCTGCTGCACCCCAGCCCCTCCGGTGCTTCCAGGGCTGGGAGCAGGGCTGGGCAGGGACAGAGCTGTCCAACACCACCGTGCACCCTCCAGCTAGCTCCTGGCCCCAGGGCAAGGAGAGCTGGGGGATGCTGGGGGTGCTCCCCACTCCTGGGTCCCCACCCCCTGCAGCCCCAGGGCACAAGCACGGGCACAGCCCTGCCCCGCACAGCTCAGCAGGCCGGGCTAATAGACAGGATATAGTTTATTGGGGTGATTCTCTGGGAGAGGGGCTGGAAGACTGAGCAGGGTCCGACTCCAAACAGTGGGGTCCATACGTTAAAAAACAGACCAGAAGGGTCTTTCCCCCGCAGGGCCGGGGGGACCTTCCTCTGCTGGGGGTGGGGGGGTGGGGTCCCCATCACCGAGGAGGGGGCAGGCGAAGCACACACGTCGCGGGCCAAACCAGCAGGCACATGGTACGGTATCGAGGCGACGGAACAAGCAACCGCCCGGGAGGTGCCAGCGTGGCAGGAGCAGCACTGGGACGGGGGGGGTGCCGGTGAAGGGGCGCTGCCCCGGGGCTGCTTTCCCAGACAAGGTGCAAGGGGCAGCTGGGCTCCATGCCCGTCCCACCGCAGACCTCCCCAGTAGGGCACAGCCGGCACTTCCAGGGCAGCTCGACATGGAGAAAAAGAAAAGAGAGAAAAAGAGAGACAGGCAGAGGCCGGCCGGTCCTTCCGCCAAGGCTGCTCTGGCGTGTTACGGGCAGGGGTTAAAGTGCATAGAGGCAAAGGCAGAGTCCGAGGACTAGAGGGAGGAGGGCACTGTGGGGGAGCCCAGGCCAGCTCCCAGCAGAGGGGTATCCCCCAAAAAAGGCCACTTGAGCTGCATAGAGAAGGAGAGAAGGAGCAAGAGAGAAAAAGAGAGAGAAAGAGAGAAGGGGAGTCAGTGGCAGCTCTGCGGGAGGCGCAGGATGAACAGACACGGAGCCAGGGTGGAGGTGGCTGGGCAGCCATCCGGCAGGTTGCAGGGTGCGGCCAGGCCTTTGGCAGGGGTGCAACAGCATCCCAGGGCGGTGCTTTGGGGCCGCTGCCCACCGGCTGGGCCAGGCTGCGGTGGCATGGGGTCAGGGCGTCCCAGCCATCACTCACCCACGCAAGCCGTGCCGTCCTCATTGGGCTCGAAGCCCCGGCTGCAGCGCTTGTTGCTGCGGCAGCGGTACCCGCCGTAGGTGTTGATGCAGACAGGCTTGTCCCGGGGGCAGACGAAGGGGAACTCGGTGCACTCGTCCGTGTCTGCAAGCAGAGGGGCCTCGGTAGGAGACGACAGGGCTGGGAGTTGGAGCTGGGAGTTGGCCATGGCCCCTCCAGTTCCCTCTGCACATGCTGGATGACCCCGCACCCCGCCCCCCCCAAGAGGTAGCCACGCACAAGCCATGTCTCTGCCCCTGAGGCTCATGGCACGGCCATGCCCACCCTGCCACATCCCCACTGCCCCTCCATTGCTTGCGGCTCCAGCGCAATGCCTGCCCCGTGCCAGCCATGCCTCCTGCCCCCGGTGCAGCGCTCTCCCCGCTCCCCGTGACACCGCAGACCCCCCTCTAGAGCCGTGCTGCTGCCCCCATTCTCAGGCCACGCGCCGGGCAGGCAGCCGTACCCCGCGCCGAGCCGTGCGGCAGCCCTGCCTTCATGCCCAGCCGTCTCCCCAGCTGCCACCTCCCTGTAGCAGGGTGCTGCCCTCATGCCCCCCCGCAGGGCTGTGCTGCGGCACCCCGGGTGCAGGCAGCACCCCAGCAGGCACTCACCTACACAACGTCCGTTCTTGTGTTGGGAAAATCCCTGCCCGCACTGCATTTGGGGAGAAGCAGAGACCGCCGGGATGGGGAGGAATCAGCCCCGGGCAGCCACCGAGCCAGCAGAGCCCAGCCCCTTGTTCCTGCCCCCAAAGCCTCCCGCCCTGCACCCACACCTGGCCCTCACCTCCAGTGGGGCAGGCACGAGTGGCTCCTCCACATCCAGAGGGTAGGGGACCTCCAGGACAGAGTTGGTCTCACTGCTGGCCACGGCTCGTGCCACAACACGGCCATCTGGCCAGGTCACCTCCAGACTGCTGGCTTCGTCATGCCCTGCAGGCGGGCAGCCCGTCAGAGGGGGGGTCTCCAGGGCGGGCAGGGGCTGAAAGGAGGCCAGGGGGGTGGTAGGGATGGAGGGGAAAAGCCTTCCCTTGCTCCCTGAGCTGGGCCCCAGGTTCCTGTGCTGACAGCCCATGCACAGGGATGTATCCCAAGGGAGTGCACACAGGGATGGTAGGATGCCCCGCCAGCAGGCAGGGACACCCCTGTAGGGTTGGCTACTGGCTGTGCCAAGCCAGGGGAGGGCTAACGGGCAAGAAAAGCCCTGGTGCCTGGGCAAAGCAGCAAGCAGGGGGTGGGGAAGGGGGCAGCTGCCCCTTGCAACAGGGCTGCAGTAGCTAGGCATCTCGCCCGCAGCCCCGCCTGGAGCCCACCGTGCCCAGGGCGATGGGCATGGATGACTACCATGCCAGGGCAGTGGAGGTGACCCCTGCCCAAGGGTGTGCCCGGGAAGGCTGGGGGTGGAGGCAGCTCCTTGCCCTCCCAGCTCACCCAATC